TTTTAGCTATTCAGATATTACGAGCTGGTTAGTTTATTTAATAGTTTTATCCAATGAAACTCTTTAAATCTTGCTTTAGATCCTCGTATTGTTGTCCTTGGACTATGCATAGCTTCTTTTGAAGCATCATTATTTTTATTTATTATGAACTGGACACCAGTTCTCGAAAGAACTAGAAGTTCAACTGATCAAAATCCATTACCATTAGGTTTTATTTTTGCTGGTTATATGGTAATGAAATATTACTTTAACATATTATTTTTTATATTGAATTAGGTAGTAACGATGATTGGTTCATTTGTTTTCTATTCTCTTGCTAAATGGATTCGAGTTCAATCATACATGATGTGATTAGCTTTTTTAGAATAATACAATATTTTTTTGTTAAGTTTAATTATTTCAGAGTAGTTTTTCTACTAGCTGCAATCGGAATGACAATACCAATTATATTTCCAGAGGTTAGCCAACTCTTTTATATAATAACTATGCTTTAATCTGATTATTTCAGTCATTAATATCAGTTTTAATTGGTTTTATTCTATTTGAATTTTGTGTTGGTATTTATACTCCATCAATAACTGTATTCAGTAATACATATATTCCAAATGAAAGTATAAATAATATTATGATATTTCATTTGCACAGTTAATTTATTTTAGCTCGATCAACAATACTCTGTTACGTACGTGTACCTCAAATGATTATACTACTGATTGTTTTATTAACTGTAGGTTTTTAAGCCATAAAAATAGAGACGAAATTTTCTATTCATATTTTTATTGTAGCATTTTTCAATAACTATGACATTGGTACTTTGTGTATTACTTAATCTAGTGGCTATGTTATGTGTGATTATATTGCGACGGTAAGTAAATTTAGTTGACAATGAAAATAAGTAACTGAAAATTTCTTGATTATTAGGTTGAAGTTACCGGAAGAAGAAGTATATGTAGACGAAACAGAAATACTTTTAGAGAAATCGTCATCACCTGTAAATGGATCATTTTCTTCGGCATCACTAACTCTTCAACATTCAGCAAAATCTAAAGACGAAAATTGATCGACATCTGCAATGAGTAATGAACATTGACAGTCAATAATAATATTTTCATCATTTTTATTAATATTTTGAAAATTATACGATTATATATCGAGAAAATTGTTCGTACTTTACATATTGAAATATTTTATAGTCTGATTTACAAACATAGAAAAGAAGAATAACTCAAGGTACGAATATTATTAAATTTTATTTCATAATCGAAAAAAGAAATCATCATTATCTTGACTAATAAAAACTAAATGAATAAATTTATTTTAATAAAAATATTCTTGAAAACAAATGAAATCTGTAATGTGCCTTTTCACAATTCATTTGTTGTACATGCACTTTTATCAATACGATACATTTGAATTCGATGGTTTGATGTATCAGCGACATATAAATTACCTTCTCTATCAAATGCTATATCATATGGATCAGATAATTGATTTGCATCATTTCCTGGTTCATCATTTCCAATTAAAATTCTTCCTGATTTCGAATGTTTAAACCAACGTAAAATTCTATTATTACCAAAATCAACAATATACATTGTTCCCATTTGATCAACAATAACTGAATGAGGTAATTTTAATTGATCTAAACCATCTCCATAACCATTTCCACCAGCAACAATAAGTCCTTCTTGTAAATCATCATTGAACCATTTCATAATTCGATGATTAAAATAATCTGCAATATAAATTGTTTGTTTATCATCAATAAATATTTGATAAGGACTTGATAACTGATCATTTTGATTTCCTTCTCCATTTCCACCAGCAACTATTTCTTTTGCTGGCCATTTAATAATACGATTATCTTCATGACCAGAAATATATAACGAACCTTGTTTATCTAATGCTAAACCCCAACATGAAATATTTGAAAGAATTACTTCTTCTGTAAGAGCATTTTTCAACCATCGTACTATACGGTTATTAAATCTATCACATAAATAAATTGTTTGATTTTTATCAACAACAACACTTGAAACATAATTCTTTGAATTATTTGCTTCAACAACAATTTCACCTTGAGATGCTCCTAATATCCATTTACTTATTCTATTATTATGAGTATCAGCAATATAAATAGAAGAATTTTCATCAATAAATATTCCCATAGGATGATTAAGCTGATTTAATTCAGATCCTTGACCATTTCCACCAGCAACTGTTATACCATATGAATTCCAAGTTGCATTTGCACATATACCATCGTCATATTCCGATGTAGTTATCATCGCTTAAAACAGTAGTATTTTTATAATAGATATAATACAATATCTTTTTTTCTACTTACGTTTAGAAGGTTTCGGAATAGACGTTGAAGAGAACGATGTAGTTTCTGGACTAAGTATCGTAGAAGAAGATGTAGTTTCCGGAATAAACGTTGCAGAGAACGATGTAGTTTCGGGACTAAGCGTTGTAGAGGAAGATGTCGTTTCTGGAATAAACGTCGTGAAGAAAGATGTAGTCTCCGGAATAAACGTTGTAGTCTCTATTATAATTTCAATTTCTTCTCGTTGTCGTAATTGATTAACTAACTGACGAATTTCATATGGATTAGAATCTATGAATAGATTTGTTGTGTAATTCGTTATTTGATTTAATATTTTTTGTCGTGTTGTTAAAATTTCTCCACCCACATTAAGTTGAATAACATCGTTTGATTTATTGAATTGATTTAAACCTAATTTTATAAGCATTTTTTCATATGGTATAATTAATGATGATAATAAAGGAGGATAGAATAGAATTGATTCATTATTTTCGATTAATCTTAATTGTTCAAGTAAATGATGAAATAAAATTGGATTAAAATCTAAGAAAATATTTCCATGTTTATCTCGGCTTAATATATTTTCCCATCGATCATTAAATATAATAGCAAGAGTTGAATTAGTAATACATGTAAGAGTCGATCGAGTTGTCATTATTAATTCACCACCAACATTAAGTTGAATAACATCAGTTTGATTTGAATCATTGGTAATATTTTCTTCAGTTATTAATTCGGTAGAGTTTATTATGTTAATAATGATTAAAAAAATATATAAGTAGATAAACTACAAAATTAATCGATTATAAAACTTAGTTTTATTCAAAAATGATTCACTTACTAGCTTTGGATATGTATTCATATTAGAGATAGATATAACAAATGCTAATGTCTGATACTGAATAGTAATATCAATTATAACTTAAGACTTTTTTTTTTCTTTTCTCTATATGAGCCAACTGTTGTTAATGTCGATCAATATGATTCATGTATGTCTATTTTGGTATCTATACTGAATAGAATATCGTTTGGAAAAACCTGATGTGTTATACTATTTTTATTGCATAAGAACTATTCAATATGATATATAATAAAAAATACATTTATTTTATACTTGACGAATGATCGATGATGAGAATATTTTTCTAAAACGTTTCTATTAATTTTATATTAAGAAGAGAAATTTGACAGAAACATTTGAAAACTGTTTTTATTCATATATAATGTAATTAGAAAAACTTATTTACAGATTTTACAAATTATAATCAACATACCAAAAATTGATTAGAAAAACTGAAAATTTAATCACCTCCACAACCGCCGCAACCACCACCACACCCACCACCATCACCACCACCACCATCACCACCATCACCACCACCGCCACCGCCATCACCACCACCACTATCACATCCACCATCATGACAGTCACCGACTCCATCGCCATAAGTATCACCCTCATACCATATATCAGCTCCACATGCTGCTGCCACTCCAGTACGTGAATTATATCTTCTATCATAATTATCAGTTTGATAATGTTGAGTTGTACGCTTGTCATGTTGAATAGCCTTGCTCAAAGCATTCCAATTAATGCTACTTTTTTTAGATTCATTCGTAGACGATATATATTCATAACCATAAACTTTTCCATAACAAATGTTATCTTTTATTGATGATCGTATATACTGACGTTGACGCAGTTTTTTAGTTCGTTGATTTTTTAAAAAACGTTTTATCCACGTTGGTATCATTTTTTGTTGTTGTTTACTAACGCTAGTAATAAAAACCCATCGTATATATTGGTAAGAATGAATCACATTCATCATGATGACGATGTTGCACGCCTGAAGACACTCGATATTTTCTTCATATACAATTAGCGAAAAAGAATAATGTTATAGACGGTGTTCTTTTTTCTATTACGTATATCTAAATCGTAAGTAAAAAATAAATCAATTTTTTCCTTCTCGATCTCATCATACTTTGTGTTGTGAGGTTTGATTTAATCCAAATACTTTATTTAAATTTTCTTATAACTTATCGATATTGAAAGATTTAAGCTAATATTGCTTTTATTATTAGCAAAAATAAAGAAGAATGTAGAAAATATCAATCATTTATTCATTTACCAGGTAAATTTTATCGTTCTGTTATTAAAAGATAGAAGGCATACGAAATAAACATGTGTCTTTCTAGCCGACATATAAAATACAACGAATTTACATTTACTATATTTACATTGTATAACAAAAGAATATTAACTTGAATTTTTTCCAATAAATGAGCATGTATACTTTTTATCTGCTACAATGACTTTTCTCACAGACAGCAAACTGTTATGCTTAAGTCAGATTTTTTATTTTATATAATTTAAGAAGATATTTACTTTGATATTGAATATATCTCAACATTTAGATTATTTTTTCCTTTACTGAATGTTAATTCAATTTATGAAAATAAATATTTAAATGTCAAACTATCGTTTATAAAGGAACCTATATCAAATAATTATATAAAGGTTTTAAGGACATAATGAAATAATATAATAAGAAAATTATAGATTCAATCAGGTTAGAAGCTAGTATATATATCGAAACAGAAATCTTGAATAGTGTAAATACTATAAGACTTTTGTGCAATGACAATTTCTAAATAATAATGAAAAACATATAATAATAAAAATTACAAGACATGTCGAGTTCATTTAGTAATATATAAATAGTTCGAAAAATAGAACTCAATGATTTAATGAACGTGCAATACTTTTTAATAGATTTGTATGTTCTGTAAGAATCAGCTCTTGTCTCGTTGGTAATTGTTCAGTTCCGACTTGATTTCGTCGTCGTGAACCATATATTCCATTCACGATGCCAATTATTAAAGAAAGCATGATTACAATGATAACAAAATAAATGAGTTGTTGTAAGACTTTACCATAACGAAGTATAACAGGAGCCTTATGTGACCAACGATCTGCTTCTAAGCTAGCATGTAAATCACCAATAGCAGTTCCATCAAGTAAGAAGCCTATAATCGGTGTTAGAAGATTATCAACAAGAGATTCTATCGTTTTAGTAAAAGCATTGCCAATAACAATAGCGACGGCAAGATCAATTAATTGTCCACTTGCAGCAAATTCACGTATTGTACCACCCAATTTTTGAATTGAACGAGCACAACAAGCCATTTTTATTCTCAATGAACAAACTCTGTTGCAATACTCAAAGAAGTCAAGTTAGTTATATGAAAATAATAACAACAAAACGTAAGACTGCTCATTTTTTTATACCAGTTAATATTGAACAAAAAGTCTATATTTCTTTTTGCTAAATATATCATATGTGAATTTCAGCAGATGCATTTATTAATTAAAACTAACAACGAAGAAAATTCATTACAAAAACTAACATTTACTTGTCAATTTCTCAATTTTTACAAAGAGTATACATGTATATAAACTGCGCAAGTGTAATAACGCTTTCTTTATAGATTCATTCTTAACAAAAATGTTTTGATTAAACTACTCAGTAATACTTTTTGTGAAGTAGATTGTTTTATTTCTCTTTGAAACATTATAAATTTATTTTTGTTAAGTGACCTTCATTAACTGTAAACATGTTTTTCTATTTCTACATCCACTGTTGTAAGAACAGCAAAGAAAAACAACACAGTTCTGTTCTTTTCTTTCTTGTAATCATTAGGAAGAAAAAGAACTCGTGGTCTCGTGCATAGTATTGACAAAAACAGTATGATAGAACGACAAAAAAAACATATCACATGTAAATAATCTGCGTCATTTTATGAAAATGAATTTAGAATCATTAGCTAATGAATTATTACTTGATTTATTTGAATATTTTTCTATGACTCATCTTCTTCAATCTTTCGACAATCTTAATATTCGTTTTAATAATCTCATCTCTCTTTATTATCAAACACATACTTTAAATTTACAATCGATATCAAAATATTATTTTGATCTTATTTGTCAAAAGTATATACCATCAATAACTAATCGAATCAATTCACTTCAACTTTCCGATGATGATGATACTCCACAACAAATCGATCTATTTTTTTCCTATGGTTTATCGTTTCGTCATTTTTCTCATTTAAAATCTTTATCAATCTATCGATTTTGCTCATTACACTTACTCGAAAGACTTATGAATGAAATACTTTATCTACATCATCTTACCTATTTAAAAATTATCAGATATATTATTAAATATACTGAAATATATGACATCGGTATAATCAGCCTTATCGAACGATTATCAAAACTTACTTATTGTTATTTCGATATCACACATGATAATGATGGTTTTTATCAAACATCATCTATCATTTCAACATCTTTAAATTCTTTATCTCTTCCATATTTAGAATGTAATCTAAATCAATTAATATCTTTAATTAAAAATACATTTAATCTCTATTCATTACAAATACGTATTAATGATTTTGTAATTAAATCACCAATACCATTGATTAAATTTTTGTCAATTAAAAAATTGAATATAAATTTTTTAGGTTCTTTAAATATAATGAAGAATTTGTTGCGAACAATGCCGAATTTAGAAGAATTAAAAATTGAACTTCAATCGAATTATATTAACGGATATGAATGGGAATCTATCATTGAAAATAATTTATTATATTTAATTAAATTACAATTTAAAATGTCAGTATCAATTTCTAATCAAAATAATAAAGAAGAAGAAATTGACGAAATATTAAATTCATTTCGTAGTGAGTTTTGGATTATAAAACATCAATGGTTTGTTCAATGTAATTGGAATCCAATTAAATCATCATCATCAACTGTTCATGTATATACATTACCTTATGCTTTTAAGAATTTTTTCTTTATGGGGAATAGTCGATTAAAATCAACATATCCTGATAATAATTATCAATGGTCATTTGATTGTATACATAATTTATATTATAATTATCTTTCATCACAAAATTTACCTTTATTTCGTATGGATTTACGTAATATTCGTCATTTAGATATAACTATTCCTTTTGATAATTCATTTTGGTTGATTGTATCAACACTTAATCGATTACAATCGTTAAGTATTGTTTCGTATAATGATATGAATTCTATTGATATACAATCGAATTTAGAAATATTATTTGAACGTTCACCATATCTTCATTCATTGAAATATTTCTCTTGGTTTGTTCAAATTGAATTTGTAGAAAAAATCAAACATTTATCTATTCGTCGACTTGGTTTACAAGGACCACATATGATTTATAATCAAGAGCAATGTTTAGAATTATGTCATTCATTCATGGGACAACAATGTGAAGTTCTTTCTATTAATGTTCAACAACGAACTGATATAATTAATCTTATTAATAATATGAAAAATCTTCGTGCTTTAAGTGTAAAATGTTCTAGAATGACATTAACTGAAGAAGAAAATCAAGATTTAATTCAATGGTTACAACAAAATTTACGAACAACATGTTCTATTTCTAATTCAACAGATTGTAATAATAATATTCGAATATGGATTCGTTAACCCTTTCACTTCCCCGGTATAAAAAAAGCTACACCTGTTTTTTTAATATTTCTCATAATGTAATTCATAAAAATTAGTATATAATCTTTTGAAAGGAAGTAATAGAGAGTGTTCTAGGATCTTTTTGAAGTACCTGTGCCATATACGCCGCCTTCACATCTTCTGTTTTGCTCTTCTCTTGCTCTGGATATTATAATTCAAATGACAGCGAAGAGCAAATCTTTATCAACTCCATTATTAGCACATATGCCTGTTGCTGAACCTAAAGAAAGGTGTGGATATTGCAGTACTAAAGCTCGTCCGACATTTAGTAACATAAAATGCAATTTTTGTGATATTTCTTTATGTGTAAAACAGCATAAAAACTGTTTTTTGTTATTTCATGAAAACACTGTATAAGTTTTGCAATTAATAAACTTCAACAGCTAAAACTGCCGTTCAGCCTAATAGAGTTCAATGTAACTGATATTGCGTAAATCGACTAATCACCTGTGGGAACACATGAGATATGTCTAACATATACTCTTATGTCTAGAAGAAGCTAATTCAACGATTTACTTGAATTCAATCCATCGAAAAATAATGCGGAAGCGAAAGGGTTAATTAATTAATCGAAATAAGCAATATATTAATTGTTTATGTCTTATGCGTTCAGATTTTAGTTGTAAGTGATGTAATTATTATAATATGAAATTGTTATCTGTTGTTGTTTTAACGAATATTAAAATTCTCTAGAAGTTTACAATTATTTAATTAATCGATTCGTTATGATAAGAGTTGTATCTGAAAATATACGAGACAATGAGAAATATAAAGTGAAACAAGATTTTTAAAAGTGTATTAAAGATAAGAAATCTGACTTTTAGATAGTTCATTGATATCTTCGTATCTGAATGTTATAGAGAAAAAATATTGAATAAGAAAATTTTGTTGGTATATTTTAAGAATACACTAAAATAAGTCTACTCCATTGAATATTTTTATATTATAGAAATAAGATTATTTTTTAAGCTTTTTTTAAAAGATAAAGAAAATTTTGATGAAATATACAGCAAGTCAATTCCTGATATAAGCATTCTTTATGGAAGATCTTATTACTTTTAAAAAGTATACTCCATCACCGATAGGTCAAAAAAAATCTAACACAACTTCTAACTAGATGGTACTCAAGTTTTACTTCACTATAAAATGCGATGTGAAGCTCAGTATCGAAATGATGAATTCAAGATTTTCAGACATTTCTAAATATTTACGATTGTCTTCAAGTCTATAGTTTATACAAACACATGTTGAAAGGACATTGATGCTTCATTATTTATAAAGAATGTAAAAATATGTCTTGTGTTTCAATGAAGCTTAAAAAGATTACTACTTTTCTTCATATACTATGACGCTTATATATTCCTAAAACAAACTTGTGACGATCATGACAATGATCCGTTTTAAACAAAACTTTGATAGATTTTATGATTAAATGATAATGTATATAGTTTAAATAAAAATAAATAAAAAAAGAGAGTAATTTAACCATTGGTGATTATAGTTGAGAACACAATATTCATGTCTATTACATATTATCTTATGTCAATAGAACAATCTTAACGAAAAATTTGTGCACAGTTACTACAGCAATTCTGTCGTTCTGTAGTTGACATCATTCTTTTTTCTTCCAACAAGTAATTACAACATCATGTGAAACCAATGACAAAATAAACATCTAGTCATTTAATAGAAAGAAAAAATAACAACACAGCACATATTTCATCAACAATCTCAAATGACGAATAAAACTATCGCTAACTTCCTTACACTACCGGTAGAACTTGTCTATCGAATTCTTGACGAGCAATCGGATCTTACAATGCTGTGTTCCATGACAAATGTATGCCAACGATTCAACAGCATCCTAGACAGCTACGATCGATACCAGGTAAACCTTTTCTATCACGATAGTTTAATTTTTATCTATTGACTCCAGTAAAATATACATAAATATACTATTTCTCACTGAAAATAATTCAATAGTTATCCCTCTCTCTCCAAGAATTTATTTCTTATAATATGACAATGTTAGCATAGTGTCCTCATAATCAGAAGAAATAAATTCTCTTTTTCTTTCTTTTCAATTTCATCTAAATATTTCATGTTTCGAACTAGCTATGATGTCATAAACGCACAATGTTTAGATAAGAACGGGAAAAAAAGGAACAAAATATTGTTATTTGCTTTTAACGTGTATCTACGCACTTATTGTTTAAATATAATTTTTAGAATAATTTGACAGTGAAATCTTTTTAGATGACGTTTCAGCATGGATTCGTCTTCTACTCATAATAAGTCTAACATTAAGAAACTAATTGTTTGACTTTTTACTTTTTACAAATCAATGTTCCTTCATAAACACATCAGTATCGTGACGTCGGAAGGAACTATCAAAATCAATAAATATTCTCACCTATACAAATCATATGCATCAATAAGACCCAGTTCGATAACTCATACGCAGTTCTGATACAGAATACATATCGAGTTTCGACAATGAGCATAAAAAACCTCGTCCACCACCTACTGATAAGAAACTATTTTTTGTCATACTTACAGAATTCTAACAAGCGCTAAACCATACTTTACTACGTTCTAAACCATTTACTGCAATACATTCTCATTTGGAACCATAATCCTATATCTTCGCAATTATTTTCTACAGAAATAACTTACAAAACTATTTTTCAATTAACCAAAAATTTTTCCTTATCTCAGCAACTCACATATAAAAGGTTTCTATCCATATTTCACCTTACGTAATTTCTTTTCAATCTCGATTTTCACAAAACCTTATCGAACACTATCCGGCATATCCAATCCTACAAACATTCAAACCCTGTTTATAGACCCTAGCACAGGAAAAGAACAAAACTTATTTCAATGCCTAACCAATGTAACACCAACCAACTATTCCATCCCTTCATCTTTATCTTGTCTTTACCTCCACGTTTTCATTTGCTCACTCACCACACTCGATCCCACATTTGATCACATCGGAGATGTTGGAGAACAATCTTTCAGTGATGCACTACAACACAGCGCAGAAACTCTCATTGTCTTTTTATTTATACAATGTCTTTACCTTCGCTTTTCATCTAGACACTCACCACATTAGATGACTGGAGCAATCGAATCGGAGATGTTGGAGCACAATCCTTAGGTGATGCATTAAAACACAATAAAGTAACACTCATTCTCTCTCTATCTATATCATGTCTTTACCTACACATATTCATTTAGACACTCACCACACTAAATCTCGAATCTAATCGAATCAGCTATGTGGGAGTACAATATTTGGGTGATGCATTAAAACAGAACACAGTAACTCACATTCTTTCTTCATCTTGACCAAGTCTTTACTTTCACTTTTTCATCTAGACACTCATCACACTAAGCCTCTTAGGCAATCAAATCAGTGCTTCTGGAACTCAATGCTTGAGTGATGGATTAAAACAGAACACAGTAATACTCATTCTCTCTATATCTATACGATGCTTTTACCTCCATTTTTTTGTCTAGTCACTCACCACACTAAATCTCCAGTATAATAAAATCGGAGATGTTGGAGCACAATATTTGGGTAATGCATTACAACGCAACACAGTAACTCTCATTCTCTCTTTTTCTATACCATGCTGTTATCCATATGTCTTTGTCTAGTCACTCACCAAATTAGATCTCTAGAGCAATCGAATCGGAGATGTTGGAGCACAATCCTTAGGTGATGCATTAAAACATAACACAGTAACACTCATTCTCTCTTTATCTATACCATGTCTTTACCTTCATTTTTTCATCTAGGTACTTATCAAACTAGATCTTACGTACAATCAGATCGGAAATGTCGGAACACAATATTTCAGAGATGCATTAAAACACAACACAGTAACAATCATTCTCTCTTTATCTATATCATACTTTACGTCCATTTTTCATCTAGACACTCATCCAACTAAATCTTCAATATAATAAAATCGGAGATATTGGAGCACAATATCTGGGTGATGGATTACAACACAACACAGTCAGTGTTGCTCTCTTTATAACTGCGCTAGATCTTTACCTCTTTTTTTTATCTAGACAGTCACCAAACTATCAGTCTCCGAGAATTCAATCGGGAAAGATGCGGTGCGTGGGATCGAGGAATTACTTGGTCGAAATAAAAGAGAGCGAAAATCATAAGTGGTAATATTAAATGTATTTAGATGAGAAATAAATCGCTGGTAATGATCATGGGAGTATTTTTTTTCTGTTATAATTTTGTCAGAAAGAATAAATAAAACTACTTGGTTTCAGACTTAATTTGTCTTGTGATGAAAATATTTTGTTTACCATTTTGGTTTTTGGCGAGGGGAATGATGGGGCTCGTAAAAAATAAAACTTCTGTGGAGTAATTGGGTCAGTATGTATTGCATGCAAAAATAAGCCGAGGCTTTCTATAACAATATAACAACTCTAAAAGGTTCTTTTCAGGAAGGCTGAGCCAGAAAAGGCTTTGTATGATAGTAGGAAAACTCTGAAAGATCGCCTGGGGTTACAACCAACGATGAAAGGTTTTCCTGTGATATTAGTAAAACTCGATTACATCCTTTCTAGTATTAACAAAGCAAAGAGTCGTGTCCGATGATATTGAACCAGAAATGTTTTCTTCATTAATGCTGAACCGTAAAATGTGCAGTATGGATTAGTGCTGAATTTAGAATGATTCTGTGTTCAATACTGTTGAACCAAGTATGATTGTTTTGGTTTTGAAGAATTTCTCAAGACTTTACAGTTGAATAGTTGAATCATGAAGAATTGATCCAGAGATAAGAAAGTTCAGTATAGAACTATTTTGTAACTACAAAAATTCTGTTACCGAAGCGGTTTTGTACTCGTTCAATAGTACTATTGCATTTAGTATTGTTATTTTTTTTACTTAATTTGATGTAGTGTAACATGTATTGAAAGCGTTTTTTTGAAAGTATTAAATAAAATCGTATGATGCTATTGAGGTAGCTTTGTAGCATATTGATGAAAGAAAGGCAGATAATTCGTTTGCTGAACATGGAATGATCATGTGGAGAATTGTTGTAGGGAGAAAACAATTGTATGAAACTGCTTTCTGATGAATGTCATATTGAAGTCTAATCTCACAATAACATAGATGTGTTAGTCAAATAATATAACGGATATTGAAATGGTTTTTGAGAGATTATGAATATTATTACATCAAATACACATGTTGATACGTGATATAGTCAGGACTAGACACATTGATAATTTTTTGGAAAAAAAACAAGTCATATATATTTTCAATGGGTGAATGACAATTTACTTAAAAATCTTCAAAGACAAACCATTAAAGTCAAATGTATACAAACTATTTTCATTCGCTGTTGGACAATTTATAGAAAACATTTGATTGTTTATAAAAGAGAGTTTTAGTTCCACTTTCATTAAGAATTACTTTCGAGCTAATAGTAAATTAACAGTAGTTTTTCAAAGATGTTTAAAAAGAATGTAATTACAACACAAAAAGTAAAACGATCTAAACAAGAATAATTATACAATTACTGCATAATCATATCTATAACTCAGGTAACGACGTTTATAATTCATTTTCTCGAATAGAACTATAATCTTTTTTACTATTTATGGCAGACAGAAATAATTGTAATAAACGCAGTTCTGTTCATCTAAACAGATTTTAAAAATTAACTAATTAAACAGGTTTATTTTCAATAAGAAAAATGAAACGATGAAGGCACGTGAGGACGAACGAAAGTAAATGCAAACGAAGAATAATACGATCAAGTTTTATTGTTATTCATAATCACACCTAGATCCTCACATATGCCGGTGAAAATAGTTAATCATAATTATCAACAAAAGTCCATAATCAAAATTATGTTTTCACAGCACTTTCTTTGAACGAGTATTCTGGGATGTTCTGTTGCTAAGATCATCACGACACAAAACTAATGTATACGTCGACAAAATAAGAAAGCCTCGCGAAGGACTATAGAAATGCTTTGCGTCGCATTGTATTAAAAAAGTTTATGAATAGACGAATCTTTTATTATGACGATAATTTTGAATATTATATTCGAATGCAATTTTCAGTAGAGAATATCATATCAAGATCTTGAGGTAGACTAGTAAGAATGTACTTATATAGATATTATTATACAGGTTTCAATTAGTAGGTTTCTGAAATTCATTTTTTTTACTAGGAAAAAAAATCATGAAAACACCGTATATGATTTTCAATAGAAAAAAAAGATAGATATTTTTTCGAATATATGCGACTATCTGCAAATATTTAGTAATTTAATAGTAAATCAAACTAACCAGTGCAAAAAGTATATGATTTTCAAAATTTATCAATTCTTCGTTTACACGTCATGATGAAGTCTGAATTTATTACTAAATTAAAAATATTAAATACTTCAGATAAAATTATTTCACTTAAGTATATTTTTTCATTGCTATTATACAACATACTGAATAACTTCATCATTCATACAAATAATTCACGTACTTTTACTCATTCAGTGAGTACATTGATCTACTATAATCATATTAATTGAATTCCCAATACATCCATAAAAAATGCGCGTCTAGTCTATCTTCAAACATATGTGTATACAGACACTAAATAAATTATATAGATTAAAAATGTCTGTCGATATATTATGATTGTTAGTTGAATTCATTTCTTTTTTTTTTATTATTAAATAAGAAAAAATAAACTATGATGAACATTTCATTGATCGATGCATTTTTCTCATTAAGTCTCTTGATGCTTTTCGAAAAACAGTTCCACCAGTTAATGTATACAGATAAAATGGCATACCACTAGCAATAAAAGCAAGAAGTACTTCAATATTATATAAAAAAAGAACAATCGCATCTTCAGTTTTACTAATTGTATTAAACGGTCGAAAAGTAATATAAAATTTTTGTATGGCTTGTGGAATACAAAATATAGTTAAAAGAAAAGCTTGTACTAAAAGCATTCGAAGTAATTGATGATCAGTTTTTTTTAATTTATATACTCTTGCATTTAATGGTAGAATTATTGATGTAATTGTCATTGCATGTGTACGAATACGAAGATAATGCACATTGGAAACGATCATTATACCAAATACAATCATTATAATCGATGGAATTAATATTGTTATAATAGAATAAATTAAATCAGTTGAAAAACGACATGCTTCACTTTTTCCATAACATTTTAAAGGTCCATCAGTTCGATTTGCATCATAACAATAAAGCATATGGATATATGAAAGAATTGAAACTATAAAACTAAAAATTATTCCTAGTTTAATATTTTTTAATGAACTCAATTGTCGACGATGAAAATCCATTGATGATAATAACCATCGATCAACTGCTGCTAACATAATAATCCATATAGCCAATGTTCTTGTACTAAATGTAATAAATGTACGAATTTTACATATCCAACCTATGCTTGTCGTAGGATCAAGATTCCAACCAGCTAATATACGTGTAGTTAAACCAACAACAATTGAAATAAGATCAATAAAAGATGAGATAAGAAAAAGTGTTGCACATGGATTTAAACGAAGTCTACGTTGTGATAAAACAAGACAATTAAGAATATTTCCAATTACACCAAAGAGAAAAATTATAGTTGCTAAATATCGATTAAGTTGTTTAGAAATAAAGCCTAATGTTTCAATAAGTTCATCACTCATTGTAAATATTCTTCCGGATTAAAAGCAATTTATTTTAAATCTAGAAATATATTATATGGCTTGTTTGAAGTTTAGTTCATTGGATTTATTTCCACTGGCTTATAAAATGTATATTTGAAAAGAGAATAATATCATCGTTGTATGATAAGTAATAAAAAATAAATGAAGAACATTTGATTTTCGTTTAATCGTCCATGAAATAAAGAAATTGATCAAAATCAAAAACAACTCCTCTTTATTTAATTAGTATCAGATATAAAATGCTAGGTAAATCCTAATAAGAAATAAAACTTAAACTTTAAATTAATGGAAATACATATTTTCTTACTGAAAAATTTATTCAAAATATCTAATATAGATAGGAAAAAGGATATCTATGAAGCTCAAATATTTACGATTTATGCGTGTATGATTAGACAATACTGTTGTTTATGAAATATAACAGAAAAAAGAATAGATCAATAATTACGTTGATCAAAGAATAGATATATGAGATAAAGAAATGATTAAAACCATATGTTATATGGAGGTGTATTTGATTCAATATTAGAAAGTATTTTGTCTAGTAATATTGTGTTCAAATCTGATTGATTTAATAAAATATATACAAAATTTTTGTTTTTTTCGATCTAAAAATAGACTTGAAAAATAGATATTATATACGTTTTCTACGCAGATGCTTTTACAATTCATTAATCTTACTATCGAAAAGATATTCTTTATGTAAACTCGTGATAACTGACTTCTTTTAATGTTCAATTATTTGTATAATATTTAGATGATTTAATAAGTTAGACTACCATCAGAATTTATCCTTCTTATGAATAATTTAATTGTATTTTTTTTTCTTAATTTTGTTGCGCATATATATACATAAACTTATATATTTTGTCTTTCCATCAATTATGAAAATTGTTTTACTCTCTTCCACACTCACTCACACTTTACACTCGATAAAGCTATTTTCTTTGAAGAACATAACTTTATCGACAAATATATCATAAGTGTTACTTATTATACAAAGATAAAATTGATTAAAACAAGTTTTATTAGAAAAACAAATATTTTTGGTAGATCAATCTACGATTTTAAAAGACAAAACAAACTTATTATATTAATCTTTTCATGCAATGCAACCATTAAATACAATCTTTTAATAAAACATGTAATTTCCATTTTCTGTTGGCATATCTGTTGAAATTTAAAGCAACGTCTTACATAATAATATATTCTATTTATTATTGAAAAATCAAAAATAAATATTTTTATAATTATTGAAGCTTGCCAAACATCTTTTCAGCGACAATTTGGATCAAATCAGAACATGCTTTGGTATATACACTTCCACCAGCTAAAACATTGATGTAGAATGGCATTCCACTAGCTATAAATGCAAGAAGTAATCCAATATTATAAATTAAAACCTTGATAGACTCTTCTAATCCAGATCCAGAACCAAAAGGTTTCAATGTAAAATACAACTTTTCAATAGCTTGTGGAACACATAATACAATTAGAAGTATTACTTCAACTGAAAGCATACAAAGTAAATGATGATCTAATTTTTTTGAGTGTAACATTTTCTTTTTCATCTTCATACGTTCATCATTATCTAGAATAGTAGTAATTCGATGATGTACACGACTATGAATACGATGAACATTTGAAATTGTCATTAAACCAAATATAATCATTATAATTAATGGTATGAGAATCGATATAAATGCATAAGATAAATCAGTTATAAGACGACATGTTTCTGTATTTCCATAACATTTTAATGGTTGATCCTCAATATTAGCATTGTAACAATAAAACATATGTACGTACGTAAGAATTGATACAATAAGGCTAAGAATAATTGCTCGTTTGACATTTTTCATTGAACAAATTTGTCGACGGTGAACATCAGTAGATGATAATAACCAACGATCAATTGTTGCTAACATAATAAGCCATGTTGCCATTGTTCTTGTACTAAATACAGTAAATGCACGAATTTTACATATCCAAGAGATTGTTGTTGTTGGATCAAGATTCCAACCACCTAAAATTCGAGTAGGTAAACCAAAAAGAATAGAAATGATATCAATAAAAGATGAAACAAGAAGAAATAATGTACATGGATTTGAACGAAGTGTTCGTTGTGATAAAACAAGACAGTTAAGAGTATTTCCAACTACACCAAAGATGAAAATGGCCGGAGATACATATCGATTAAGTTGTTGCACAATATTATCCAATGAATAAGTAAGACCGGTGTCGATTGATAATGCCATAAAACAGCTATTAGAAATAACTAATAGATAGCTGATCTAGAAATTTAAAGTCAAGACTGATATAATTCATAATTCATTTCGATGTAACTTTCCATAATACGTCAATACATAGAAAGTTAAAAAATGGATAATGAACAGAGTATAGAAAACACATTCCAGTGTATCCTTACATACATATCCTAAACTATTTTGTCTGTACTACATAGAGATGAACTAGAAATTAGGCATGGCAGTTTGAGATCATTATCTCTCATATATAAACACAAATGGGATATACGATCAACTGAGATAACGAAGAAGAAAAAGACTATTTCTCAAGTAGGAAAAAACAGAATAAATTTTCTATTTGCTTTGCACAACATAAACTGAAGAAGAACTATATGACTTGTTCATGTACTACTCAGCAAGCTCATTAAAAACTGGAAAAAAAATTATCAGACAGTAATGAAGAACCGGAAGAATTTCTATATTTGTCGGATATAATTATAGTTTCTTTTCATATAAATTATATACAAAAGTGAGAAAAGTATTCGACGTAATGTTACCTTAATCATCTCTAAATATCAAATAAGTTACTTTCAAAAACAAATATTTTATTTTAAAACTTAAGGATTTGACTAATACTTGCTAATTTTGATATAAAATGGTAAAATACTTGACACTTCCTAGATGCAATAGAAATAATTGCTAGGGTATCACGTTACAATTTTGAAACGTGATTAATATGCATAGAAAGGATATTTGTATTTTTCATGCTACGAATATATAACAAATAACTATAGAAATTTGTCTTCTATTTACTCTGTTTTTCTGTATATGAAAAAGAGAATTGTTTTGTTAACAATACATTTCGGTACGATAGAAGATATACCTTCTTTGAATACATTAAAGTAATTTTATAAATAAAAATTGTATGTCGTTAACTATAAGTGACTTGCTCTCATCAGATGTCTATTCATAAACTTATGATATGGATTTATCTTTTGTTGAAAACTATTCTTTATTACTTCTGTTGCCATGAACATACTAAAGAGATTTATATATAGTAATACAAGTATTTTTTTGACAGATATGAGTTCTGTTACGTTACAATTACGTTCTGAAATCATAGAACTTACGATTTTTTAAACATCTATTTTTATCGTGAACTAATCAAAGTTATACATTTTGTATATATTCTAATAATCTATGAATGCCTTATTAGACATTCACACTTTGGATTCGTTACTATTCTGTTATTGAATTTTTATTTCTTACTTGAGCTATCATATAGATAATCAACTAATTGAGAATTTGAATACATCTTTAATAAATATGCAAAGTTCAGAGTGTCTAACAAAAACATCATTTTCAGCATCTCACAAGATTTTGATAACGTGACTTACCGCAAACGACGTAAGAACATGAGTACCTGTTCAGAGTCTATATAATACTCAGACGTAGATGTTAAAAAGATCAGAAAATTATTTTACAATTTCTACGTGTTACTAATGATAGAGTATTGTAAAGCTTTAATGACGTATATAATAAAACTTCTATGTACCGAAAGTAATGAGTTATAGATATAAAGACTGTGTACGGTATTTTATTATTTATTCGGAATTGAAAATTAGGAACTTTGCTTGATAAATCTACTATTCATTAAAAATTTATATACATATGCATATCTTATTTAATTAACATAAGTTAGTGTTGATTTTTATTACAACGAAAATCTCTTGACTTCTTATTTAGAATTATTCTAATTTTGTCAAAAATTTATAGATATTTTTCACTTTTGCAAATTTTATTTAAAAAAAAGTGATATAAACATATTTTAGTTCACATTCATCTATTGAATGAAAATAAGTGAATAATAAATGTATATCTTTGCTAAGAGAGTAAACGATTGTTATAGTTATACAGTTGAAGATAATTATAAAACAAATACTTTCAAAACTCTAGTAGATCATTAAGTATATCTGTATGCTACAAAGGCAGTTCAGACAATAAAAAGTTATTTTTTTTATACAAAACACGATATTACTTGTTCATAGTTAGTCATATCTTAGAATACAATTCTAAAAATGATTTGAAAAGTATGTCTTTACTGATATTTGAGCATAAATTGTATCATCGTCTGAAATCAAGAGTCGCAAGCAATCAACTATAAGTACAAACTATCAATACATAAAATATAAAATCATTAGTAATAGTAATGATAGTCATCGATTATAATTGCTTTCTGCTCCTATGTACTTAGTAACATCAAAAGTTTAAAATATACATACTTACATATTTTATTCAGTGTTATTGTATTATTTAGTAATAGTAAGGAATTATTTTAAAGATATATAATGAAAACATAAATCTTATTTAGTTATTTTTTCTAATACTTTGTATTGTAAAACTGAAATACGTTTATATTTAAAATACAAAACAAATAAAAACAAAAATTTATCGTTCAAAGAACGAGACGAAAGTCTTGTTTCGTATGAGCTATAGATCGAAGTTTAGCTTTACTTGTTATAGACAATGGACAATTACTTAAATCAATTGTTTTCAATGATTGATTTTCTTTCATCATATTTACAAAATAATCCAAACATGAATCATTAATTCTTTGATTATTTTCTAAATCCAAATATTTAAGAGTTGTATTTGAAGAAATAAGAGCTGAAGCTAGCATTTTCACACCACGACAACCAATTTTATTATTTGATAACCATAAACCAGTTATTGATTGATTTGTTTTAAGCATAGTAGCCAAATATTCTACACCATGATTATTTAAATCAGTTGATTCAAGATCTAACCATTTAAGATTGGATTTATTTAATGCAAGTCTATCGGCAAGATATTGAATACTTTTTTGTGATAATGAATTTTGATGAAGCGAGAGCATTTTTAATGTTTTATTATTTCTTAAACTATCAGCAAGTTGTATAATACCATGAGATATAATTTGATTATTTCCTAAATCAAGAACTTTACATTGTTTATCTATAATTGCATATTGAATTACATAGGAAATATCAGCATCAGTTATTTGTTGATTACGTAATGTAATTTCAGAATTCATTGGATATTGATTTATTAAATTTTCAATTTTTAAACGATCAGAATTTATAATATCTACATAAATAAATAAATAAAATGAATTAAAATATATTTGTTTAATTAATAATTTACTTGATTGTAATTTCTTTTCTTTACTATGATGATGAATAAATCCTAATGAACTTGATTTATGTAAACAGGTCATTCGATGTCGAGCTAAATCTTCTCGTTTTCCTCTCCATAAACATTTTGTATCACGATTTGAACATGATACAATTACTTTTAAACATTCATTATCTATATGATCATCAAAATCTTTTCGTTCTATTCCTGTTTGTTCACATAATAAACATTGGACATGTAATCGATCAAGTGTATTAAGCATAGTTGAATTCTTAACAGATTTTAAATGTTTTTTTTTCGTTGGTTGACGACATAATGGACATGTTATTTTACTTTTGTACCATAATTTAATACAATAATCACAAAATATATGTTCACATGATGTTTTTTTTGGTTCAGTGAATGGATTTAAACAAATAGCACATAGAAGTTTTGAGTCAATAGACAGTTCATTTTCATATTCATAATCATTGATATGAGACATATTTACACAATAAATAACTTTAATATATTACCCCAATGGGAAACAATTTTTAATCGTACGAATATAAAGCGTGTGTTTCGTATTATACTATTTGACTATAGAATGTTTGTGTATTTTGATATTTTTCTTTTATTTTCTCTCGTTTTTTTTTTGCATAGGTGGACTATGCGTTAGTTTTTCTTTTCTGCGTAGGTACTTTTACCGGCAATTAAGAAAACATTCTTTGTTAATACATAATATTTTCAAAAGAATCTTGTTTTTATCTATTTTTCTAAGCGCAAAGAACAACAATATATATATATGTAAAAACAAGTGATTGCTGATGTCGATAATATTTATATGTAATTTTGTTTGAATAAGAATAAATTTTTGAAAGTTATAATTTAGTTTATTAATAAAGAATTGCTTTAGTAATTTTTTTACATACAACAGTTATATACAAGTTACAAATACAAAATCAAAAAAAAAATATATGATTACTGCGTATATTTTTTTACGTTTTTATTACAGTATTCGTTTTTCTTACTGATTATTGATCATTAGCGTCACGGTTGAATTCATTCACTGACTCTCTATATACATTCTGTCATTAGATTACACTCGAAGTGGTATGACTCATACATGTTTCGTTCTTTGATAGAACTAATATAGAAATGGATATCGAGTGCATATTTCATAATTGTATAAGAAAAAATATAATTTTATTATGAAAATAACTATTTATTTCAGAGATAAAAATAGACACAAAATTTTATATTTTTCTTAAATAAATAATCGAAAATACTACTTGTTTGTATAAATGCAAGGCATGATAATTAATGAAATATATACATTTTCAACTAATATTAAAAATACTTCAATGAAAGAAATAAAATATCAAACTACACGATTTCAATACAATAGTCTTTGATGTTTAGCTTGTCTTTCTGTAATGATTACAAGAGCATCTATACACAGGGTAGCCCATAAGTAACGTAATCGAACGAAAAATTGAATATCTCCATTACGACTCGAGCAAAAGAGCTGATTTTTTCACCAGTAATAGAGACATATTTTGAAAGATCCTCTATTAAGTTAAACTCTATTGACTTGGAGAAAAAAATTTTGCTTTTTCATTTATCAAAAAGAATCCAATGTAATAGAAAAAAGTAACAACTTTTCAAAAAATAAAGCATAATATTTTAGAGCATATGTTCGAATTATTTTTCTTCTGTACCGATACACATCTGATAACGAGTGACTACAGAACAACGTATGTTTTGGTATAATTCAATGTTACCATTGAGCAATGTAAATTCTTCTTGAATTAATATTTTCAGACGATTGAGATCGTGAGATTTTTGATTGTTATCTCTTACAATAGTATGTAGTTCATTATTCTTTGAAATAATATGATATAAGATTAATAAATGAAAATAATTTTTTACCTTTTCATCGAGTAGATGGGTAACAAAACCATATTCTATTAAACAATAATGTCCAGCTAAGATAAATTATCTTGATCTTCAATTGTAATTTTATATCGATACAATAACTAAGATAAAAATGTATGTCCTTTATTTAACCTTCAAAACAAAAAGTAGAAAGTTGTTAAGAAATCAATAAATACTCACGTCAAGATATCCAGCACGATCATTTCGATCATCGAAAATGGTGTTAAGGATAGAGAATAGAGAGAGGGTAGTAAGCAGAAAGATGGTGTGTGACACGAACTATATCTGTTCGCGGTTCAATCTTCTATCTTTATTCATTAAAATACGCCTTTTTATATGGTTAACAACAAAGAACAGAGGCTAGAGAGGGAGATATCTAAGATGATATTATACTTGATGTGTTATCATCCATCTAGGCCTAACAAATGGTCTGAAACAATTATAAAACGGTATATTACTCCATTAATTCACACCATTTTTTGCCGTAATCGGTCGTTTACGTTGCCGTTGCCGTTGCTTTTCATCTAGGTAATGAAAAAAATCTTTATATAAATATATAATTTTAATAATATATGATTTTATTTTTGATCTTTATAAAATACTATTGAGAACTTTATTACAAGAAAATATAACTATAGCAAGACCTGTCTGTAGTCCTAGTATTCATCAACATATTTCCATTAAATCTAAATAGAGAGAAAAATGCAAGAAACGATAATTATATTGATATAAAAGGAATTTTATAAGTATATAAGAAAACATGAAAATATAATAACAATAGAATTTTCGACTTTGCCAGAATCTTGAAGGCGGTCATCATCAGTAACAAAACACCAAAAACATCATCAATAACAATTTAATCAAATAACAATGATAAACACAATCATAATCATAGTAGTACCAAACTACTAATACTACTAATACTGCCAATAATAATAATAATGAAGTTTCAATAACTGCCTATAAATACATCAACATATAAGAAACAACTCGAAAGAAACAATAAAAGTAAATGAGAAGAAATGCAGCTTTTGGATTTTTTATTTCTAATATAATGAGAAGGGTGTGGGTATGACTTTCTCGAGAAGATAGATGTATTCTTTATTTATTCCTACACCCACATCCATTTTTTCGCTTGATAAGTATTCAGTTATTTAAAGCTTTGTACATTTTTAAAATAAATGCTACTGATCATAATATAAAAATAATTGATTGATTAATATATAATCATTGTTATTAAAGATTAATACATAAACTGTTTACTATTTTCGAAAAGTCTGTTTCTTTATTGATAAAAAAAGTATTTGTCAAATATATAAATTGCTATATCTACCTCTATCGTCATTCATAGTTTTTAGTTAAAATATTCTAGTCGTTTGGGAACGATAAAACATAAATAATCGTTTATTTTTTCTCAAAGAAAGCAACAAAAAAAAGCTCTAAATCAGTTCTAAAATATTTTCATCGAATAACTATAAATATGAAAAGTCATATATATACTTTTACATTCTACTACGCTATCAAAAACAAGACTGAAGTTAATTATTGAGTTCTTGTTGAACCAAATTGATCCAGTAGGCTACACCTAATGGGATTGCTTCGTCGTTGAAATCGTATGTAGGCGAATGTAATTTTCGAGTCATTGTTTCGTCACTTATACCCATAAACATAAAGGCACCAGGCCGTTCTAAAAGCATCAAGGCAAAATCTTCACCACCCATACTAGGTACTCTGTTTCCATCGACATTTGCTTTCCCGACTACAGCTTCAGCGGCTTTAATAGCTCGTTTTGTTTGTTCTTCGTGATTGACTAGAGCGGTGCCCTGACGAACATATTCTACTTCAGCAGTACAACCAAAACTGCTAGCTAGACCATTGGCCAACTCATTTATTCGTCTTTCAATAGTATTACGAACAGATTCTGTAAGACTTCGTGCTGTACCACCGATACATATTTTGTCTGGCATAACATTAACTGATCCAAAAGAACCACTTTCAATGGCACCAACACTAATTACAGCTGAATCGAGTGCGCTAACATTACGACTTACTATAGTTTGTAATGATAAAAGGAATTGTGCTTGCAATATTGTTACATCAGTCGCTAGATGTGGTCCTGCTCCTCCATGACCACCTGTACCTCGAAATGTTACATACCAATCATCAGATGCTGCCAACATGGGACCAGGTCGTATAGTAAATTTTCCAAGTGGATCTGCGTAATTGTGTAATCCATAAATAGCATTCATTAGAAATCGATCGAATAGCTTATCATTAATCATTGCAATGGCACCTTCTAACTTTTCTTCAGCTGGCTGAAAGATAAAGTGAACAGTTCCACAAAATGAATCTTGATGTTCAGCCAGATATTTGGCAGCGCCGAGTAACATTGTAGTATGTCCATCATGACCGCACGCATGCATAGTGCCAGATTTTGTCGAGGTGTAAGGAACACCAGTTTTTTCGATGAGTTGAAGAGCGTCCATATCAGCACGAAGACCAATGGCACGATTACCTGGTCGTAAACTTTTCAGTGTTCCAACAACACCAAATCGACCTACACCTTCAGTAACTTCTACACTCCATTGTTTCAATTTAGCAGCTACTAAAGCCGATGTTCGTACTTCTTCCATACCCATTTCGGGATGTGCATGAATATCCTGTCGGATTAATGTTAATTCAGCTTGCATGTCGCGTATTTTATCGAGAAGAGTATTGTTCATCTTTGTATTAGATCTACTAACATAAATACGTTACTATATAAACAAAAAAAAGATAAATAGTGAACAAAGAAGTGCAGTAACCTAGTTGATAGATATAGGTTGTTATCAAACGACGAAAAATACGTTTGGAACATTTGTCAACGAATAGTCAGAACGGTGTTTTGGAATATACTTACTTCGGTAGCTTTCTTTGAATTTTATCTAACCACGACTATGACATAGTACAAACTTTTGAGCAACTCGAATAGATTTTGAAACTATTTAGTATTACCTAGAAACTTTCAAACTCGAGAAAGAGCATCACTGCTAGTACTGAAGGTAAGTTAACTATTTCAAATAGAACATAGAATGACAGAAGATAAGAGAAAAGTATGCCGATGAAAAAAAAAGAAGAATAAGATCAAGAGAATAAGTAAGAGCAGATTGTTTCGTTATCACTACAATATATATGTTATCATGGTCAAGTAGGATAAAAAAGATGAGTGTCATTACCGTCACTCTCCATATTAATGTTCAACACACTACTTCACTGTTTTTCATACTTCTTTTTGATTTTTATTATGATAGTCAGTACACTTTAGTCGGTCAAATAAGAGAAGATACAAATACGATCGACAATTCGTAAACGAAGCATATAGAAGAGAAAAGATAAAATACACGAGAGAGAATGTGACCATTGATTATTGACATACATAGGACGAGAGAGTGAGACAAATACTTTCATCATATTAGTAACAAAAAGAATTTTTTTATACTATAGATATAGTGTATATTTATTTCAACTTCTTTTTTGTTTCTTGTGTTCTAGAAGACATGAATATAGCTTTAACGTCATTCTATAAATGAATAAAGGTTAAAAATAAACTTGTGACAATGTATGTCTCACCTACACTCATCTATTAAATTTAAGTATAGTCTTCTATCGAACAATTGCAGATACTATTTTCTTTGTATATACTGGTGATGCTTCTTATAATGGGGATTTCAATCTTTATGTTCCATTTGAATTCTATGAATAATTATGGAATCATTGACAAAGAATTATGAAAGAACAGATGTTTACAAGAATCTTCTGTATAGTTTCGATTATGAAATTGTTTATTATTTGATTATCAAATCTTATTTTTTATTATAAAATGCAAGTATAAAAAAAATACAAATTGATTTGGTTAGTAATTAGAATACACAAGCAAATATTTCAGATTTGTGCCACACCACCATCAACAAAAAGTTCGATACCAGTGACATAACTGCTATCATCTGAAGCGAGAAATACAGCAGCTTTGGCAACTTCATTAGCTGTACCAACACGACCCATCGCTGTTTTAGAAGCTAACATATCATAGATTTCTTTCTTTTTTTCTTCAGTCTCAGCAGTGCTATTGAATACAGAAGTCGTTATCGGTCCAGGACTTAAAGCATTTACTCGAATTTTGCGTTCTTTTAAGTCAACTGTCCAGCAACGAGCAAACGAGCGAACTGCTGCTTTTGTAGCACAGTAAACACTATTATTATTGAATGCTTTAACTGATCCAACAGATGCATTCAATATGATTGATCCACCATCAGAGAATATTGGTAATGCTTTTTGAACAGTAAATAATACTCCTTTCACATTAACATCAAATAATCGATCGAAATGCTCTTCAGTCAAAGATTCCAATGGTCCTAGTTCAAATACTCCAGCATTGGCGAAAAGAATATCTAAATGACCTTGTTCTTTTTTGATTAAATTGTACAAATTATCAAGATCGTTCATATTCGATGCATCTCCTTGTACTCCGGTTATTTTCTTACTATCCAATTTTTTTACTGCCTCGTTGAGAGCATCTTGACGTCGACCAGTAATAAAAACATGAGCTGCACCTTCATTAAGAAATTCTTGTGCAGTGGCAAAACCAATACCATCTGATCCACCAGTAACCAAAGCAATTTTTCCATCGAGTTTGCCCATTTTTCTTATTGCTGTTGTAATAGTTGTGATTATTAATGTTGATTGTGTGTCTCACTCTTCTCCTTCCTATCCAGTTATATATATATAAGCGAACAACATCATCATCATGTTGACTATGTTTTTTTTTCGTTCTTACAGAACATTTTCTCTCTCTCTCCAATGTTTTTCAAGGTTGTTATGTTATTTCTATTTTTCTTCATTTAAGAACATTATTTTCAATTCATTAACTGATCAAATTGCTTCAGATGCCTTGTTCGCGAATACTTGAATGAGACTTATAACTGTATTCCTGTTATTTTTCATATATAAAAAAACATTCATATATATTTTATTTTATATAAGATTCATTAGAAAAAAAGCAGATTTTTTCATGGATAAAGGTAAATTTATACTTGGAAAAATAAACAGATACAATCTATTTTTCGATTATTTAAAAATGATAAAAAAAACAATTTTCATATAAAAATAACGTTATATTATGAATAAAACTCTAAGTTTTGAAACATTTCATTTAAATATTACATTAGAGAACATGTGCGACTATTTGAAATACTTGGTGCACTTGATATACGTTTAGGTCTTTCATCAATATTATTATTATGAGTATTTGGCAAAGCAGAAATAGGTCTTTGCATTTCTAATAAATATCGTGATTTATCAGTATTTACTTGAGGTATGATTTGTTTTAGATAAGTAAGTAATATTTCAAATTGTTTTCCTGTCCATCTATCATATTTATTTGAATGTCGAAAATCAATATATGATTTTTCAGTAAATAATGATAATACATAATATTTCGGTGGCCATGAATTCGTTTCTTCTAATAATAATGGTATAATAGGTTTATTTAGAGTATTAGCTAGAGTTATTTCATTTTGACAATTAATTGATTTCATATATTTAGGTGTAATACAAACAAGTAAACATAATGCTTGATGAATTGCAATATTATACTTTTCTATTAATGTATCTTCACCTTCCATTTGAAATATATCAAGCCAAATTCGATATCTTAATTGTGCTAATTGTTTATAAAGATTAATAACATCTTTTTGGCAATTCCATTCATAAGAAATAATTATTTGTGGTTGATAAACTACTAATGGAATATTATTAAATAATATGAAATTATTTTTAGCATGCAAATTAAATGATTTTAAAAAAATAAGATTATCTAAACGAGGTACAAACCAATGACGATATTCTTCACTAATCATATCATGATCAGGTGCTAAATAATAACGAATTTGACCAAGTAATTCAATAAATTTATTTTCAGACCATTCTTCATTGTTTTCATTATCATAAAATTCAATCGAAGAATAATCATCAAGAATAGATTTAAATATATCTTCTAATGGTAACCATATTAATTCTTTCATACATAAAAGAATAAATGGCTTTTTCATATTTAGAACTAATTGACATGTTTTTGAACATATTTTTGATTGTATATAGAGTGTATTGATACAACAGATAACTATTTTTGCTCTACGAATATCAGTTTCTACAATATTAATGTTAATTTCTTCATCATACATTTGACAACTGTAACCAGCTTTTTCTAAATGATCTTTTAATTTAGTTACTAGAGTTTGTTTACTTGAATGATATGAAAGATAAATTGGTGGTTGATGTTTCGATTGAATAGAAAGATCATTTGGAGTAATATGTTCTATTGTTAATACTTCTTGACGAATAATTTGCACTACATCATATCGATTTATTTCCTCAAGTGCTTTAATTAGTCTACAGATAGCTTCATCTATTGTATGTATAGTAAACCATTCATTTAGTAAAGCCATACAAGGATCTGTCTCTATTGTCCAATGTTTTATTTTACTCGATGAAAATCCAAGATGTTTAGCAAGTAAATACCAATCATTATCAGCACGTTGATTTAATAATTTAGTTACTTTTGAAGTCCATGATGGAATAATTTCTTTTTTTTCTTTACTTTTCATATTTTTTTTATCAATACATAATTCGATTTGTTGTATATCATTTTGAGCTTGTTTGATTCTTATTGAATCTAATTCATTAATTAATAAATTTGAATCTAATGTAATCAAATCTTGACGTCGATGAACTAATAGTTGTTTATATTTCAATCCAATAAGTAAACAAGTATAGAGAACTTCGTTTCGAATCTCATTTGAACAATTTCTGTTTTTTTTAAAAGATCAATAAGATGAAGAAGTTTTTCTAGATGAATATCGAATAAATACGGATGATAATTAGCTACAAAACTCAATGATTGAATAAAATTGCAAAGATCATTATTAAATGGTATTGTTTCTATAGATGAAAATATTAGATCAATATGTTTTGATAAAATCATTTCTGGATGTTTTGTGACAATCAAAGAAAATAAACACATTAAAGTAGATAAATATTGTCCTTCATCGCTCAATAAAGTATTAATGAAATTGTCGATATGAGTATAAAATAGTTCAGAACGTTGATTATGTAGCATCTAGAATATGAGTATAATATCTACATGTCATTTCTAAGAAAATACTTTTTATCAGCTTACCATTAATAATCCGATGAAACTCATGTCTTTATAATTGAATGTATACTCGAAGAATTGATCGATATGATCAATAGCTATATTTGTTAGTTTCATACCAATAGTAAGCCAAAATCCAATCCACCATTGACACAGTATCGTTTTATTATCACTTTTAACATTCATATACATTTCATCAAGAAATGGTTCATAGAGACGAGCATCATTTTCATTATAAATCACTGATGCTACTCGAAATAAAAGACATACTAGAACAGTATATTGAAATGTCATATTGTGATCTTCATCATAAAATGGATAGTTGAGTATAGATAAAAAGAGAGAAGCTATTTTCGAATGAACATTATGTGAAAGTCTCTTTAGTCGTTGGATAAAATCACCAAGCTGATTTGATAAATTCTAAATGTAAAAAGACATTAATAAAATAGACAAAAAGTAAATATATATTTATTCTTACAGTAAAAAAGGAACGATTTTTTTTATTTAATTCTTCATTTTCACAATTTATTCGATTTTGTAATGCATTAATAAATTTTATATATATATCATCATTGATTTGCTCTGAATCTATTAATTTAACTATATATATTCCCATTCGATAAACATGATTACTCCAACTAATTTCAGGATTTGACCATCGAAGAGTAGCTTCAAGAGCAATTGAATGAAGCCTTTTAATGATAGTTGGATAAACTTCTGCTTTTGTAGATATTATACAAAGAATATCTTCTAATTGATTTAAGTCACTAAACACTTTTTCGTTAACAATAGTATCATAAGAAATACAAATTTTTGTTAAATCACTTAAACCATTTGTTATTTGTTCCCAAGGATAAAAATCTTTTCGTTTTAATAGACGACAACATAAATCAGGTGCTTTATCAATATATAATTTTAAAATAGCTACAATTAAATCGAAATAGACCAGTGCAAAACTTTTCTTAACTTGTAAATCCGCTAATTCCCAAACAAAAGGTGAAAGAATTTCTGAGCAAAATAAATCTCGATTTTCAACTTTTGGACAAAATTCGATTATTCTATGTAATAAAATTTCTAAATTAATTGAACATAAATTTGGAATTATTAATTTAGTAGATAATAAACAAGCATCATCATATCTATTCGCTAAAACTAAACATTCAATCATTCTTACTAATTGTAAATAACTTGATCTGATCAGCTCAATATTGTTTTTATAGGATTGAATCAATAGTCTTATAGAATCCGACGATATTGTTGCAATTTGTAACCATATGGGTGATTGATGAGATAGTTGAACTGCATGTCTAAATAAGAAAACAGTAAAGAACTATCAGTCATAGACTAAAAGTTGATTTCAACTAGTAGAAATTAAAGACAAAACTTATTTGTTTTACTGATAAAATTGTTTGAAATTTGCTACAATATTTTGATTATTTAAAATATTATCATCATTTATTGAATTTGAAAATATACATTGAGTTAAAAATTGTTTCCATTTATCATAATTTTCTTCTGAATTGAAAACAAATGTTTTCTTAAGTAAACTTTGAAGAATTTGTTCGATTAAATTAGTTTTCAATGGTATTAAACATAACTGGGTACCAATTTTGAATTTTTGATAAATTGTTTGAAGAAAATTTAAATTCCATTCATCGATTCTTGATCTATCGAGAGTTTGGGTAAAAATTTTCACAAGATCATTAATATCAATTGATAATTCATTTTTAGCAAATCGTTCAATAACCAGATTAACAAAACTATATTTTACTTCACATGGTGATGAATTTATTGGTTCTGTAAGAACATAATCAGCAACAAACATTTAGAATTAATTTTGGATTATTAGAAATTGATGTTTTGTTGACATGTATGAATATCTCTGGCCATTGTTCTTGAAAGAGATTATTATCATGAGTCAATTTAAGAATAATGTCATGCATCAAATCGATATTTTTTTTCTGTCAACGAATAAGAAAAAATATATTTATTCATGACAGAAAAGAAAAAAATATATATGTTTGAAATCGTTGTTAACATAACAACGGTTGATAATAACAATGAGTCAACGTCTATAATGAAATATCACCCTTTTTTTGAAATAAATATATTTACATTTAGCTACAAAAAGTAGTTTGATCGAATAACTACATATTCAATTGAATTTATCCCGTAATACAATAAAATACATATTGAGTGCACTTTTAAGAATACTATCTAAAATGTATAATAGAAAAAATTTTCCAAAACATAATTTCATATTTATTTATCATTTGTTCATACATTTAATACAAAACTATTGATGTGTTTATTTGTATGTCAGTAAATTGTGCACGTTTACAGGTACGTAAGATGTTATTATGAAAGCAAAACAATCGAAAAACATCATTTTCTTTTCTATTGTACAGTTTGAAAATATGTAAATTGTTTTTTCTTACAGAATAATCGTTTGTTAAAGAATTCTGAATAATGGATTTACGGTAAATTTTATTTTCTAAATCTATCAATTTAGTTTTTTTTCGGATAATAGGAACCATCGAACTTCGACGAATTCATATTTTAATAATAAATATATTCGTCAACATTTAATAACAAATGGATTAGTAAGATTTTTTTATTATTAAAAAAAAAAATGATTGTTTTATTTTATAAAAATAGATTAATCCTCATGGTGGTATTTTATCGCCTAGATCCTATGAAGTTGTACTTGGTGGACGAAAAAAACCAAAATATACGAAAAGAAGATCAATAAATAGTATTTGCAATTAGTAAATTAAATTGTTTTTCAAATATTTTATCAAATGAGAATTTTTTTTTGTAGTGTAATTGAAGATGAACAAAAACATCATATATTTATTCGAAATGTATTCAATCCTGATCAACATTCAAGAAATAGAAATAGTCGTACATTTATTTCAGTTAGCAGTGTAAGTTATTAAAAATATCAGTTGAAATTTTATATTTTATAGTTAAGTCCAAAACGTTCACCACTACGAGCTAAATCAGCTCATCACTCGCCGATAAATGAAAAAAACCAATTAGATCGTCGTTCATCTATAGTAAAATTAATTATAGATATATAATTTAATGTTTCAAAAAAAAATTGAAAAAATCTCTCTTCTAGCAACTATTTGATGATGATAATTGTAAAGTGACTATGATCTATTATGGACCAGAGTTAAATCATAATCATCACAAAAATTCATATCTGTCTGATGGTGATGAAATTGTTGTAATACAGCAATATTCTGATGATGAAAATTTTATGGTTTACAAAGGTTGTGTTGAACCGAATGGTAAGTTTAACTCTTTTTAACATAATCTTAAATGTATATTTATATATTTTTACAAATCAAGAAACATTCACATTTGAATCTCATTGTCATCCTAACCATACATTTACTATAACATTATACATTAATAATTTTATGGATAGTCAAATATCTGTCTGTTGTGAATATAAATATGAACATAATGCTCGATTAGACTCTAAACATAGTTTATTTGGTATATATGATGTACAAGAAGGCAAACCTTGTCAAATGTAAGTTTTTTATATAAAAGTTTTCTTATTAATATATCTTTTCAAAGATGCCAATTTCAAAAACAAAAAAAGACATTATTAACAACTCCTTCAAATTCATCGATGAAAGGTATTTGAAATTAACATAGATATTATCAAAATATTTAATTTTAGAAAAAAAAGAATCTTCTAAATATGAACAGAATCATATTTCTGTAATAACAGATCGATATCAAAACAATCATACAATTGTATCATTCGTAAGTAGTTTACTTTTAGTTTTTAAAAAACGTTTATTAAAGTACTTATAGGATGATAAATCCTATGAATCAGATCAACAATCTGTTGATGGTTAGAGAATGATAAAAAATTAATTTCGATATATAACATTTCTTTGTTATAGAAAGAAAGAATACTTATGAAAACGTATCTAGAAATTCATCGAATAGTTCGCAAGATTCTCGTCCATCATCACCATTGATTTCATTGCAACATGAAGATACTCATCATTCATCAGATGATTCCTCTGAAGTTGAAGAAAATCATCATTTTTTAACATCTTCATCAACTATTCCTTCTTCACAAATTACTATAGCTAAAAATCAAGTTGATCAATCATCAAATACTTTAGAAGCATCAAATTCTACGTCAATTCCTATTTTTAGCGATGAAAATGATAGTATTACTGTAAGACGACATTCTTCGTCATTATCATCAACTGTTTTCTCCAACGAAGAAGATGAATCTTATTTATCTAAACTATCAATTAAAAGAATCAATACTAAACAACAAACATGGACACCATCATCATCATCTACGGATTATAAACAAAGAAATAATGCAAAAACTACCATCAACAATATAAATGAACCAGAGGGTACGTATTTATATTTCGAAAAAAAATAAGTCTCGTACTTCGTTCTTGATCTAGAATACATGTAAAACTTTTGTTATAATCGGTCTAATGCACATATCAAGAGGAAAGAGAGACGACATAAAGTATTATCTTACTAAAACGTAGAAATATTTACTATCACATCATTTATAGTTGAAAAGACCTCATTTGAGACTGACGATTCTATCTCTAATTGATGATAGATACAATATATTTAGCAAAAATAATATTTTCAAATTAAATCATATAACTTAGACTTACAAATGTTACGTCGTTCAATTCAAACACAGCCTCAACAACCTAAATCATTCAAGCCGAGATCGCTGACTACTCAATCAAATTTTCATAAAGTACAGTTGTATCTGAAGAAAAATTATATTTTTAATTCTTATCTATTAATTTTTTGTAGCGAATCGAACAACAACCACAAAAATTTATTGATGTGCTGAGTCAAGATGAATCAGTATTTAGTGATGATGTGGATCAACAAACAAAAAGGAGAGTTCATTATTCTTCGGATGAAACTTAAATTATGAAATATAACCAATCATTTTTATTCTAATTATAAGAGATAGATTTTGAATATAATAATGTTAGTCAAGCATATTTTATTTGTAATCAAGAGAAAGATTTTACTTCTTGAGGGTGGGTGTGGGTGTGGGGCGTGAATAGAAAGAGTAGACACCCCCACCCGCCTTAGTGTGCTTCCAGTGAACGCACTTTTTACTTTGTTGCCTTATCTTAATCTCAATACCAACAATCATTAGTAATAATATTAGCACACATGAATTCATATTGATTCATGTAAAGATAAAATGCTTTTTCTTGAAATAAACAAATATTTGACAATATTTCTTTTCTGTTGTTAACATCGTATATAGATATTGTTAATAAAACCGCGATTTGCATCATAGTATTTTGTTTTAATCTTGGAGAAGGATAAGTGATTTTTTTATACAATGATGTCTAAACTTTTAATGTTATTGATCTGTACAGCCGTTGTGATTCAAGGCGCAAGACAACAACAGTATCACCATCGACGACAATTGTTTGGAAGTAGTACACAACGTCTCCCAAGTAGTGGTTACGTAGTAAAGTCCTATAGTGTTTATTTCAATGGGCAAATAGTTAATGGTCTGTCTTCGTTATCATTTAAAGATTTGGGTTCTGGTTATGCAAAAGATTCTTCGAATGCTTTTTATGCTGGAAACAAAATAGCAGGTGCATCTAGTTATTTATTTGAAGTCTTAGGTGATCGATATGCTAAAGATGCTTGGTATGCTTTCTATGCTAGTAATAAAATAGAAGGTTCATCTAGTTATTCATTTGAAGCCTTAGGTGATCGATATGCTAAAGATTCTTCAAATGCTTACTATGCTGGGAAAAAAATAGCAAGTGCATCTAGTTATTCATTTGAAGCCTTAGGCAATGGTTATGCTAAAAGTTCAGGAAATACCTATTATATGGGAGAAAAAGTTTTCAACGGTTGAACTAATGGTTCCTAATAGAATCGACATTGACATAAATATATTTCTTTATATTTTAGTCAATTTTAAGCAAATAAAGATAAAAATCAATTATACCTATTATTCAATTCTCGTTGTTAAACAGATATTTTCTATTTTCATATGGCATGAATCAAAATTAGTGATATATGATTCATCGTCATTATCTTCGAAAGATTTCTAGTTCTCTGAATTGTAGCTAAAGTTTAACTCACATAAGCTAGTTATCATCTAGAGTGTGAGTGTGGCTGAGATTGTGGACGTGCAGATGAGGATAACAAAATAAATTGCTCTCTTCTTTATATTCAATGATACATTGTATGCTACCAATCAAATATTAGATGAAGCCAGTAATTTTTATTTAAATTTTAAATTAGTTCGTTAATTGGGTATAAGTGTATTATTTATTGGTTTTTCCCTTGATAATAAGAATGGTATATGTGCAACATCAGTTTATCACAAAGAAGCAACTGAACTATATTTAATATCATCTTGAAGGTATAGGTGTGTGAGCAAGGATGAGAATGAAATATCAAAATGTTATCCATACACGCTCTCAAGATGGTGTGGATGTGGGTAAGTTGAAAAAAAATACTTTCATGCATATCCTCATCTACCTACTCTTTATGAATATTACTATTGACTTCAACAAAAAAATTGATATTTTCATAGATAGAAAGAGTAACAAAACACTTAATAAAAGTTCTTTCTATAATTTTATTCTTCGAGATTGATGTTACTGCTAATGTTCGCCCTCTGTCGAATTTTCTGATTGGGATCCTAGTGATAGTCATATATTTACTATACCACGACCATGATCATGATAACAACCTGTGTTCTGTCTTACTATATATCATCATGATTCAGGATAAAACCTAAAATATTGCACATTATTTATTTTTTCCCCATATAATGCATTGGAGGTTTTCAATGTGTCATTATATTATATGTTAAGATATTTTTTTCTAATACATCATTCTTGGCTTTATCCCATATACATATGTTCGTTTTTTCCTTCATTAGACTGTATTTGCGTTTATATTGTTCTCTTGTTTTTTTTAAATATTAATGTATATCATTATTTATGAAGTAGGTTTACAACAATTAGGAGTTATTTTATTTTCTGGAGAATGACGTATCGACACATGAGTCATCATTTATCATTAAAAAGTAAGAATTCTTTTTTTAAAATAGTATATCGCTTATCTCGCTCGGTTTTTTTCTATAGTAAGTTCTTTAGAAGATATTATCAATCATTGACAAACGACATCAGCTGTGTTATACTAGCTATTCTTTCATTATCATGCAATATAATCTGATCTATACAATAAGATGAATAATTATCGATAGACTATAGTCGATTAATCGTTTTATTTTTAATTTGAACTACTTCGAGGTGTTGTTGGTCATACCGTAATAAAAACACAATTCAACTTTGATGAGTGATAATTATTAATTGAATTAATTAGAGAATGGTTTTGATTTATCTTCGTTTAAATAATTAGATTTTTCTTTTAGAAATTTTATATTAATATAAATTATGGAAATATCAACATTTAGTCAGTCATCTGACTTTGCAACAGAAATGAATCTAAAGTTAACACATAACATTCTTCGTGTTAAAGATCCGAGTGGAATGATTCAATTTTATGTAAACAAATTTGGAATGGAAAGTATTCAGATTTCTACTCCATCATTGCCATATAATATCAGTGTTCTGGGATATACAACAAATTATGATGAAAATTTTGCCAAAGCTTCTAATACACTACCTTCACCTACATTACTTGAATTTCATCATAATGATCCATCAATCATTAGTCCATCACTTACTAATAGTGGAACTTCAGAAGTTTATTGGAAAATTGGCATAACATTATATGATGTTGATTATGCACGAGAAATTTTACAATCAAAACAAGTGAATATAACTGATGCATCACAGTTTGAAGATATCGGATATGTATGTCACTTACGAGATCCAAATGGTTTTTGTCTTGAATTATTACAACATGACTTTGAGAAAACATTTCAAGAGAAAATAAATAAAAGTAGTAAACAAACACCAGTAGATAACTTTCCATTGGGATATCCAGTCTGTATCGGTCAAATAACATTACATACAAATGATATAGAAAAAACTCAACGATTCTATTGTAATATATTGGGTATGAAATTACTTTCGATACAAGAAGTACCAAAGTACAGTTTCACTTTGTATTTTTTTGCCTGGACGAATGAAAATCCACCACAATCAGATATAAAAGACGCTACTATTAACCGTGAATGGTTGTGGAAACGTCCTTATACACAAATTGAAGTAAGATATTTTAATAATCAAAAACAAATACCATCTTTCAAAGATTTACAAGACAATGAAATTGGTTTTCAAGGGATTAGAGTTATGTGTAATGACTTGAACGGATTTATATCGAAAATGAAAGCTGGCAACGTAAGTTTTGTGGAATCAAATGGAACATTTGGTAAAGAAATTATTATTCGTAATCCAGATAACATACCAATCTATATTTCACAAAACAAAAGCGAACAATAATTTGTATTCTTTCTTTTTTCCCTTCAACATTTTCTTTTTATTGCTCAAATATCTTTTTTATTTGGGCCATCATACGAAATACAACATCAAGAGAAATCAAGTAGCTCCGCAACATAGCAAATTGTGGAGATGTGATTTCTATATTCAAGAGTATAGCATTATTTTCTTGAAAACTTGGTTTTTTTTTAAATCATTTCATAGAGAATATCTTTGAATGCCATTTAATAATTCATATTTTTCATCAATAATGTACTATGATTCATAAAGTTGTATGATAGTTTAGTCAAAATTCTATTAGTAGTAATATTATAAATGTGATAAACTTGCAGAATACATAATAAAGAAATGTATTATCAAGCTAATGAATAATATATATTTACAGCACGATGACGCTATATTATGATACTCCGAACACGTTTAAATACCTTTCTAACATTACTATTTCAACAAAAAAATATTGTAAATTATATTGCATATATGCTATTCTTGCTAAACTCTAACTGAAACTATACTTGAAAATGTATGATATGCGTGTAAACCACATGTACCTTATGTTATGAGTATTCGAGTAGCAATAGATTATAGTATATATTAGGTATGTTTGCTTATTCTCATTAGACTATTATATTGATTCGTATATAAAAATAACTCTCCGGTCGCTATTTGTCTTATGACAATATTAAATATCATGAGTGCTTTTTTGAACGTACTTTTTTTATAAGAACGACTTTCGAGAACATTTTTGAAATAAATATTGAATCACTTATTTCTAGTTGGATTCTTACTAACCATATGGCTTTTAAACAAACTGCGTCACTAGATAATTTTATTTTTATTCATTTAATGCTATATAAGACAAATAGAGTATTATGAATTTCTCATTTTTTGAAACACCAACACTGGTCTATACACAACAAATATATTATCATAAAAATAAAGCAGAAGATACAAAGATTTTCTTACAACAATGAACCAACGTCGATGTATCGTTTGTCTCCTTGTCGTTACTATGTTAACAATCGTGATACTACTTGCTGTTTACTTTAAATATCATTCTAAAAAACAAGAAGTTATACCAATTAGTATATTAGATACAACAACTATTGCTGTCATTACAATTTCAAATAGTTAGTTTGAATTTTGTTTTATATTTCTAAAAAATTTATTTATTAATCTAGGTGATGATAATACTAATCAACGATTAACACTTGATTTTACTTCAGAACCTGGTTCAACAAGTAAATATTAGTAAATAAAGTTGTAAAAATGAGATCATTTACTTTTTTAGATCAATTAAACAACCCAGCAACAAGTACATCATACTCAGTAAAAGACTCAACGTCTAGTATATCGACATGTAAGTTAGTTTTTGTATGAGATAATTACTAATTATTTATTTTAGATACATTGGTAGCTGACTCATCAAAAAACATTCCAAGTAAGACTATTCATTATTTTATTTCAATATTATTGTTTATTTTTATGTTTAGATACAGCACAATCTACTTTTCAAACAACAAATATAGATATTACAGGACAAAAGATAACAACATCTGGCAATGGTAAGTCAGTTTCTACAGAAGGAAAATATCAAATTCGATATTTATTTAATTTAGCTCAAAAAACATTCTTCATGACAAGTATATCTTTAGTAATAAACAGAATGAATAATTTAGATAATATTTTTTGTAAGGCACAATGAAATCTAATCTTTATACAACGTTGGCGAGCAGTACAAAGCAAGAATTGAGAACAACTGATATAACTCAATTAACAATGGCTAACAAACAAGGTAGTTTTTGAGAATATTATTCAGAATTTTATTACTAATAGATTTTTGTTTTCTAGATGAAATAACAAGTAAAATCATTTTGAAATAATAAAAAAAAAGAAATGAAAAAATATTATTTGTTAGGTACAGAGCAGAACACTGCTGGAAGAATAGGTATTGTAGAAATTATTCTACAGTTGATGATTATTACAATGAGTGAATTGTTTATAAAAATTAGTTGTATTTAAAGTTCAAAGTGTACATTTTCCATTTATATTGTTGAACAACACAATAGCTTAGATTTCTTTCGAAGGATATCTCAATAATTCTCAGTATTTTTACTATGACTACCATATTATAGAAGTATTAGTATTAATATCTAGGTTCAAATCATATTATCCATTTCAATATAACAAAATTTCAAAAACAAGAGGGACTTAGCATTCTAACTTGATTTTTTTGTAATCTTTCTTTTAGGTGACACAACAACTGCATCTTCCACATCACTTACAGGTATATCTAATAATTGAAATAGAATGAATATATGAAATATTTCTTTGTTAGATTGGAAGACGCTCGAGGATGAAATGACTACTACAGACAAATCTAAGTTATTATTGACGATTTTGATGAGAAGTACTCTTCAGACTTCATTGAGTGATGTGACAGCTGAGACTTTCGATTCCTCACTGCCTATAGTAACAACGAGTAATCCTCAATTCTTATCGATAAAAACGACTGTTGATAGTTTGCAATCTTCCTCAGTCATCACAACAATTAATCCTTCAAAATATCTATTAGAAACAGCAGCAACATCTACTTTAGAATCATTATCGACAGCTATGAAGTTAGATATATCTGAAACTGCTTCAAAACCGACGCCGATAACTAGCTCTCAGCTTCCCTTCGTATCTTCAACCAGAGATAGTTCTTTATTATCATCGATGTATTCGGCAACAAGTACGTCTCAGTTCATATCAGAATCTTTGAAAAGGGTTAGTTTAATATTACCATCGGTATCTACAACAATAAGTAGTTCTCAGTTAACATCAGAATCATCAACAACAGATAGTTTAGTATTGACACCGATACCTACCATCACAAGTAATTCTCAATTCATGTCACAATCTTCAACAACAGATAGTTCAATAATGTCATCGACGCCTATGAAAACCATTATCGCTGATTTAACATCAGGATCTTTGACAGAAGATAGTTTCCTGTCAACATCAATGTCTGCGATGATAGACAGTATCCAGTTGACTTCAGGATCTTCGACAATAGATAGCTCAGTAATATGGTCGACACCTATGACAACAATTAGTACGGAGGTAACATCAGAATCTTTGATCGGAGATAGTTCCGTGTCATCATCGATATCTGCAATCACAGACAGTACTCAATCGACTTTTGAATCTTCGAGAACATATAGCTCATTATTATCATCGATAATTATGGCAACAAGTAGTACTGAGTTAGCGTCAGAATCTTCAACAATAGATAGTTTAGTAATGTCGTCGACACCTAAAACAGCAGGTACTTATCAGTTCGTATCAGAATCGCTGACAACAGATAGTTCAACAATATTGTCAATAGATATGGGAAAAGATAGTTCTCAGTTTACATCAGAATCCTCGACAATAAATAATTTAGTATCACCTTTAACAACAATGTCTGGAAGTAGCTCTCAGTTCACATTAGAATCCTTGACAACACTCAGTCCGATGGTAGCCTCGACACCGCTAGTAACGAGTAGCTCTCAGTTACCACCAGAATCATCAACAATAGAAAGTTCAGTATTATCATCGTTACTTAAGGAAACGAGTAGTTCTCAGCTCACATCAGAATCCTTAACAACTGATATTTCGATAGTGTCATCGATACCTTTGGTAGCGAGTACTTCTCCGTTTACATCGGAATCTTTAATAACTGATAGTTCAGTATTGTCATCAACATCCACAGCTTCAAGTGATCCTAAATACTTGTCGGCAACTATGGCTACACAGAATTCTGAGCCATCAGGAACAAGTACAATGTCAAGTAATAACGATGTATTATCTAAAACTATGACAACAGGGTATTCTGAATATACATCAACAACAATGATTACGACTACTACTCAAACAACCTCTACAACCATTACAATAGGTAAAATAGAATTTTTTAGAAGTAATGAGATAGGAATGTTTCTTCAGATTATTGAGAAAGTAACTTGTATTTGGTCTGTTTCAGCGGCAACAGTAGAGACTCAATAATGTCTAGTATGCGTTAGTTAACATCTTACAATTATTAGGTACAGCAAAATACCGTGAAAACTCTCTTATAGCTAAACAATTTTCTAAATAAAAATAAAATTTGTATACTTATTAATAAGTCTGTATGTAATAAATCAATTTATATAGTTTTCATAAAAATGACTACGACAATGAGAACATAAGAGATGATAAATAAAATGACCTCTTTACATGAAGTGGAAATGAGTAAATCTAATGTGCATTTAGCTTATACATAAGATATTTTATCAAGAAATGAAAATTTTAGTTTTATTCCTATATATAACATATGAGACTATTGAGAATTCATACAATTTTGGTTTTGCTTATCATTTGTTTTACTTTATAGACGTAACAACAACAGTGGAGACAGATATGTCAACAAGTATGTATCTTATTTATAAACAAGATGTAGTAAAGCGGTATAATTATTCATCTTTAGCAATGGGAATAGCCAGCACGCAAGTTACAAATATTCCATCATCCGTGAAAATCACTAGCACAATGATGAGTAAGTCATTGAGAAAGATTATTATATACAACATGTGTAAATAGAATTAAAGAAAATTTATTAAGAATCGTTCAGTCATCAATTTGAATATAATTTGATGAAATGTTTATTTATTATGTATACAAAAATGAATACAGATTATCTGCTAAGAGCATTATCTCAAGACATGAGATTTAACCTATGTTTCTTATCAGAAAGAAAAAGAAATGAATAAGATTATTTTATATTTACAGATAACAACGTTCAAACGTTGACTTCTACTCAATCAGTCTTTTGGAATATAGATAAACCGCTTAACACTGCACGATCTAACTTTGGAAGTGCATTATTAGCAAACGGACAAGTTCTTGTAGCTGGAGGTTTAATTACTAGCAGTTCGGCAATTTCACAGACTGAAGTGTATACATCGACTGGGTGGCAACTGGCATCTTCCATGAAACTTGCACGTGCTTATCATACTGTTACTGCTTTTGCAAGTAATACTAAAGTATTAGCCGCTGGTAGTGCAACTACAAACGGTCTACAAACTGCCGAAGTATATAACATTTTGAACAATACATGGACATTCACATCAAATAATATGTCAAGTTCTCGTTATGCACACACAGCCACACTACTTGGAAATGGACAAATACTCATTGCAGGTGGATATAACGCTTCAGGTAAAATTATATCTGCAGCCGAGCTTTATATTCCATTATCAAACTCATTTATTAACACAACTAATATGAATATAGCACGATCTTATTTTACAAGTACACTTCTTAGTGATGGATCTACTGTTCTTGTTACAGGAGGTGCTAATGCTAGTAGTTATCTCATTTCAACAGCAGAACTTTATATTAATGGTTCTTGGATTCTCTTATCCAGTAGTATGACTCAAAGTCGAGCTTATCATGCTGCTGTATTATTAAATGATGGAACTGTATTAGTTGTTGGGGGAGGTACCGGTGGAGCAACTGCATATTCAACTGCTGAGATTTATAATGCAACATCACGAAAGTTTACAGCTGTTGGATCAATGCAATATCGTCGAGGAGGATTAACTCTTACACTTCTACCATCAGGTAAAGTATTAGCAGCAGGTGGTGCTGATTGGACATCCAGTACATATCCACTTGTATGTGAATTATATGATCCTGTAACAAGAACTTGGTCAAATACTACTATGCTGAATTATGGAAGAAATTATCATCAAACTGTTTTACTAAATAATTTTGTATTAACTACTGGTGGCAATAATGGAAATGTTAGTCGAGTTATTAGTTCTGAAAGATACAATTTATGAAACATTATAATCAATATTAACCTAGCTGTAATAACATTTTCTCTTTTTCAAATCCAAATGATGTATCTAATAAACTTAATTATATTCAATGAATAAAAGTCTAATGTTTTAAATCTGTATTTATTCTTTATATAAACATGTTAATTTTATGACAAAGAACTGAAAATGTTTATATTCATGTTTATCGAAGACTTGAAATAAATAACATCCTTAAAATATCATTTTATGCTACAGTAGACTTATAAATTGCATTAGGTAGTGATAATGTTATTAATTTATTTATTCAATAAATATGACATTACACTACCGTTACAATTACAAAATGAATGTGCGTGTGTGTCTGTATCGGATCAAAAGAACATCGAATATTGTGTAAGCTTTTGAAACTCACTACTACCAAGTGTATAGAACTTTTTACACATCTAGCTAAAGATTTAAGAGATTTATTAGTAGAGATGTGGAATACATCAAAATTAACTTCAAATGATATTTCTGGTCCAATGCGTTGTATTGCCAATGTCTAATGATAATTATGATGATGCTGAAATAATACAAAATGAACTTTATCATGATTTTAATATTGAAGTACCAATTAAAAATATTGGTGGAAATCTATATGCTCGAATATCAACACATATCTATAATTATATTGAACAATATGAAGAATTAGGTAATGCTATAATCAAAACCGTTGATAAGAAATATGAAAAACAAGAAAATTGATGATTTATTTATTTAACAAAGATGATGTGTTTGAAACTATTAATTTCTTTTTAGTTTGTTCCGTCTCAAAAAAAAATAACATGTTTATCAATTTTGCTATTAATAGTTGCAAGAAGTCGAAAAGGTCAAAATTCACAGGGCTTTCATATAAAAACAGACTATAAAATTTGATTAGTATGCATAAGTGTATTTCAGTGAGATTGAATTGAGTTTATGTATATTTTTATTAGAATTATTAAATATATATGTTTCTTTCAAAATTTTTATTCTGCCTAATACATAAAAGTGACTACAGAGTTATAACTGACTGATAAAATTTCTAAACTCCGAAGCTTAATATTCAGATACTACTTGTCTTAAAATCAATTTTACAATAAGCAAATTTTGACGACATCAAATTAAATGTTCATATTGAAATTATGGTAACGATTGTAGGTATTGTGCTATGGAAGGCAATATCGTAAAATATTCACCTTGAGAATATTATTATGTATGCTTCCACTACATATACACTCTGATACGATTATGAAAAAGGTAATTTAATGACAGATTTTGCTCTATACGACTTCAAATTCAAGGCTACCATAGGTCTCTCTTTCTCTTTTGTGGTTGATATTTAATGTAACATATACATATATAAAATGAGAGACAGGAAGAAAAAAAATTACATTAGTTTTTACATAATACTACTAGAGAGAACACATCGAATGAATCAAGCATACTGTTTATATAATATATTGCAATCGTCTTAATCACATACAAATATATGTATATAATGTCTTTATCAAAGCTATTGGTATTTCTACTGATGATCTCAATTGTTAGTAAGTTATGACAAGAAAATTATTTTTACATTGCTAGAAAATTATATATACATACGTATTTTAGTGGTCGAGAGTCGAATACGTCGTAAACGACAAGTGGATTTACGATCAAGTGCTTATTATGGTCTAGGTGCTGTATCAAATGTGCGCTATAATCTGGAATTATTTGGTCCAGGTACGAATATTTTAATGAAATATCGCCTGTTATTTATGTTCTGTATAGGATCCAATTTGCAACCAATTGGAAACAATTGGTATGTACCAGGTATTTCACCATATCCATATAATTATCGTGAGTAATGAATAACTATTTAACATAATATTTCTATAGCTCTACAAACAATATTTCTTTCTTAGCACCTAACTACAATATGCAACAATATCCATATCAAACAGGCTATGGTTATCCTAACACATTTAATGCTTATGGAACTGGACAATATGGTAATACAGGATCTCTCAATCAATATGGTAACAATAATGATCTAGCTTATATTGGTCAATCTTACGTCCCACTAAACAACGAGTGGTTACCTTTACCTGGTGTCAATCGTCGTCGTCGTCAATAACATGAAAATATTACATATAGTCTCTAATATGAATAATAATAATTGCAACATCTACCGAATAAAAGTTTACTTTCACAAAAAGAAATCTTCGATACGTGTTAAAATTATTTTGATAAATATGAGAGAGAGAATTGAAAAATACATATCTGTTACAATTTATTATGACAAAAAAATTAAATAAATAAATATTGAAATACAAATTTTGCTTAACATCAAAAACTTAAGATTTCTATACATTTTGAGAAGATTATTCTGTAAATAATCTTATACACTGACCACCATATTTTAATTCATATTTAATACGATTAAAACATGGATGTAAACGAGAAATATGTTCAAGTTCTTCTATTGTCATTACACATAGAAGTTCACAATCAAATTGATAAAGATGAATAAGACGTCGTTGAAGAATAGAAGCTAATTGTTGTAAAAATTCATATGAATGATAAATTCCATTTGAAGCTATTTTAAATTTTTCTAAATTAGGTGTTTGTTGAAGAAAATGATTCATTTCCATAAGTGATGGACCATCCAAAACACAACAAATATCAAATCTTTTCAAATTTGAATGTATAATATCAATTGATAACAATTTTTCTCGATTAATTAATCCATTATTTGAATATAAAGATAAATCAACCGAACTAAACCAAACAGTTCGAAGTGTAGATGAATTCGACCAAATTTGTCTATAACGATTTGATGAAACAACATTTGTTTCATGATGAAATATACATGTTTGTAATGAAGGAAATTGTTTACAATGAAGAATTTTATATAATATACAACGTGATAATTTATCACTCATAATACCAAATTCTAAATGAATTAAATGAGGAAATTTAAATAAACATATTTCTTCTAATTGATCATCTGATGGACTATTTAATATTAAGAAATGTAAAGAAGGAAATAGTTCAAAATCAATATAACTTGAATGATCAACAGTTAATTTAATTATATACGTTGTAAATAAATCAAAAAATGGATCATCGATTTCATCAGGTGATGAAAAAGTCAATGCAAGATTTTTATTTGAACATACTATTGCATTTAATCGAGAATTTAAATCATAAAACGATTCATATAAATCATGTATATCAAGATATTCACATATACCAAGGATGATTTCATCTGGTAATAATTCAAAAATTGATTGTGTCATGATATTTATCTAGAAAATCGAAATCAATTTTTAATTTCGAAAGTCGAAATAAGAGATTAACATGAATATTGTTTTGTTCTCCTTTATTTCATTGTGTTCGAATGTTAGACTTTTGAATATAAAGAAGAAGATAGAGAATAGAATTGGTGTTATATAATAATCCATCGATCAAAGTGAATGGTAGAGGGTGCTACTTTACAAATCCTATATAATATAACTGTTTTGAAATTATAGTTATTGATTATTTTATTTTTGACCTTTAGTTTAAATTGAAGGTCATGTTATTGTTCTTGCACGTCTCGTTATACGTGACTAATAAAATTTCTTACTGATATAATCTAGTTTTTAAAAAATTATAAAATATTCTGTATATCATACACAATAAATCTGTAGAAAAAAAATGTTTAAACAGTACTAGCATCACCTGGATGTACAACTTGACTAGAATTTTCTATATCGTCTGTTGTACCTTCGTTAACAGTTGTTGGTCCAGTAAGTAAACTTACAGGAGCAGTTAATGATGGTCGTCCGTATCCTTCAAACCAAAGAAAAAATCTAGTTATTATAATACTTCGACGTTCTGCTAATGTTTTTATATAATAATGATATGTTTTCCATGTTAATTGTGAAAGAAGAAAACCAAGAAAAACATCAACTGTATAATGAAATCGTGTAGCAATTATAAATAAATAACCGATTATTGTACAAATCCAAACAAGAATTGTTGTTAAATAAAATGATAATGGATCACCATTTGCATCTAATTTTGGATAAAACCAACCAGGTTTACCACGTTTTATTTCTTGATTATTTTTCTTATACTTATTCCATAACCAACGTATCGGATAATATTCTTCACCTTTAGAATAAGTTGTCCAAGCGAGTGCACATAATGTTACTAAAAATAAATTGAACTTAGTTTTTTAAAAATCTTTAATTATCTATAATTACATGTTACAGTATGCCCAGAAAAAAGAACATCACCACATGTTTCATGAATTAAAAACATTATATAAAATGCTTCGACAGGTGGTGAACCTGTTGCTGTTGTATTACAACCAGGCAATGGAACACTTAATGATGTAACATATATTGATATACTTCTCATAAAAAATAAAATAGCTTGAATAAAAAGCCATCGACGAAAAACAATTAAACGTATATCACGTTGAAATATATAACGAATAATAACTAAGACAAATGATGTTAAAAGATAATAATTATTTATTTGAAAATAAGTCCAATAGGGTAATAGACGATGACCAATATCAGGTAAAGCAGGTATCCATCCTGGTGAATTTCGATCGGCCCATACTTGAACAAGTGAATTAACGTAAAGAGAAATAAAAAAAATAATTAATGAAACAAGAATCGGTAGATAAGACCGAACCATTTTTATTTTATTAGTCTTGTCTAAAAGATGCACAATGATAAATATCAGTACTCAGACCACGGGACGCGTTATCATTGTGTACGTAAAGAAACTAAATCAAAAATACAACAGAAAAGAAAAGAAACAAAATAAAATAATTATATTCTTATATAGAAACTGAGTACTATTAAAAAAATATACTTATCATTAGATCATGAATATATTTAAGTTGTAATTAGAAAAATTATTTCGAAAACCTTTTTGGTAATGAATCAGTATGATATCGTTTTATATGTTAAAGAAATAGCATTATATAGATACATGACAAGTACTATTAATGTTTTTTTTATTAAAGTTTAGATTATGATAATGTCTTTGATAAATCTATATTGTCCGCGGTAGTATAGTGGTTAGTATCCCCGCCTGTCACGCGGGAAACCGGGGTTCGATTCCCCGCCGCGGAGTATTATTTTTTTTTATATGTATAACATTTAGTTTTTATTTTCAGGTAAGAATGACGTGATATATTCTTTTTCTTTGATACAAAGACATACAACCTTTAACTGATATAAATATATTTTTCTTTTTTTTTGGTATCAAAAGAGACAAAACATTAGACATGCTTTTTTTAGTTGTTTATGAACAGATTAAATTTAATAAAAAGGTGATTATTTATCAGCAGCGTGGCGCAGTGGAAGCGTGCTGGGCTCATAACTCAGAGGTCGGTAGATCGAAACTACTCGCTGCTACCTACTATTTTTTTTAACATTTTCTTCGCTGAAATTACGCAAGACTATATAGAATTGTAAAATGCAAAAAAGTATGTGAAATACGACGTATTCTATATTAGATAACAAATGTTTTATCTTTTCTTTTTGAATAGAAAAAAATTAAACAGAGAAGCATCATATAATTTACTTTGTATTACTCATCGGTAGATTTCTTTAGTTTAAGATTTTGAGTAGAATTTATTTACTAAGTTTATTAATTGAATCTATAAAATATAAAATAAATTAGATAAGTAAAAATGATTACTTAATAAGTATAGGTGCAAGTAAGATAAAATACAAATGGTATTATAGTATGATCTATTGATGTTTTGAATTTCTTTTTTCTACGGTTGTTCTGACATACAGTTCACAAATACAATACACATACATCATTATTTTTTCTCTCGTTTTAAAATATTTTTTAAACGTTCTTTTCTAATGATTAGTATCTTATTTTGTAAGAATTGACATATTTTTTTTTAGATTATATAAATAATGTCAAGAGTTGAGGACAATGAAAACGAATCATTGGAAAATTCTTTAAATCTTAGTACGAAACGTTTTGGTCCAAATGATTATTCTGAAGGCGGTTCAAAAGTTGTTCTTCTTCTTAAACCAGCTGGTGGTGCGCCAATGTTAAAGAGAGAAAGATGGGCATTACCAAATTCAAGTACTGTAAGTGATATTGTAATGTTTTTAAAAGACCATATGAAACTTGATCCTCAACAGCAATTGTTTCTTTATGTTAAACAATCATTTGCACCATCACTTGATTCAACAATTGGATTAGTTAGTAATTGTTTCGGTAGTGATGGAATGCTTGTTTTACATTATGCATTAACACAAGCATGGGGATAAACGAAAAAAGAAGAAGAGGGTGTGGGTGTGAGTATTGTGATAACTTACACACCCTTCAGCAGTACACAATATACCTTTCGATGAGAAAAGAAAACGAGAACTACCATAAAAAGCAACAAAAGCTTTATTAATACAATAACTGATTCATTAGGTTCTTTGCTCAACATAATTAATTTATTTATTTGGAAATATTTAAATTTTCACTTAGAAAATCAAGTTTTTTTCTACTTAAGATTTAATAAAAAATACTTGACATTTAAATCAGAGGCTTAGATTTGATTGAATTTTTGAATATATAAATTGTCTACGCAATATCTTCAACAAACAAGAGTGTTTCAATAAAGAAAAAAACAATCGAAAAGTCTCATAATAAGCGTTAGGATCCAGTTTTTACCAGTAGACACTTACTTTTCGAGACTTAAATGGTAGTAATCATGAACATAAATACTAGTAAACATGAATATTGCAGTACATTGAAACAGAGAAAAAAATCAATGATAAATTCATTATCAAATGGTTATGGTACTTTCCTGTGAAACCAATGATCATTGAAATAATGACAATTTTCATTCTTCACTACGATTCTACAGAAGTTATCTATTCTTATGCACGTTTTTTACCATTAGTAACCAGATCTTGTCTGATAGAGTCACTTGAAGATATCGTTGTTCCACCTATAAGTAAATTATTTAAAACTGAAGCTTCGGATATGAAAGAAGTAACAACTACTTTAAATATATCACAGCGTCGATCTTTTGAAGATGAAATGGAGATAATTACAGTAATTCTCGAACTAACATATCAAGATAAAAATACAATCAATAAGGATTTATTCCATTTACCTTATCATTAATTCAAAACATTAAAATTGACTTCTCTTTAAAACTTCATATTTGAATTTCTTTTGTAAAAATATAAATTTATGCAAAAACATTATAAACCCTATTTTTCATCATAAAAAATGTGTTGTTCTCATTGTGTGTGTTTCTTTTATTGAGGAAAAGATTAGATAAAATAAAAAAAACTCTCAAGTTATACTACGAAATAACTTCATTTAAAACCAATTCATCTCGATGTCATGCATTCTTTCGTTCTGCACAGAAAAAAAAAGGAAGTAGACAAATAATATCAGGATTAGACAATCTATAAAATCATACACAAATATGAATTAAGAGTAAGTAATATCATTCAGTTAAATACTAATTTCTTCATACATTTTATTACGACGATCGCAATTCGATTTGACAATAAAATATTATCTTTGTAATTACCGTTCAAGCTACATATACTTTATTTTGAATTCAACAAATCATTTATATTGGTTTTAATTCTATTCTTCATAAAAAAAATATGGCAAAATAAATGATATTATTCGCTACCATTATTATATTATAGTGTTATCATTAGATAAGATAAAAATTTTGAGTGACTATAATATTCCTCCACATTTCTAAAATACAAAAAAAAAGAGGTAACACAAAACCATTGATTACACATCGATTATTTGGCATTCGATAAAAGAAGAAGAAGAAAGAAACAAATATGGTTATATATCGAAATCGAAAATTAGAAGAAGAGATTAATAGTTGTAAATCTTGTTCAAGAATTGATTTACGAAAACAAAAAATAACAGATTTAGATATGGAATTTATTATTCAAGAAGCAGTTATTAATAAACAATGTACAATGCTCTGGTTCAGTGATAATCAATTAACATCACAAAGTGTATCAATTCTCGCTTCAACATTACATAATAATACAACATTAGAAGGTTTATCTCTTTGTCACAATGGTATTAATGATGTTAATATATCACATTTAAGTCAAATATTATCTGATAGTAAAACAAAATTAAATAGACTTGCTCTTACTTCAAATGAGATTACAGATGAAGGTGTACAATATCTTGCTGAAATGCTTAAAACTAATCATTCATTAACACAACTTTGGTTAGGTTCTAATCAAATTACCGATCGTGGTATGCAATACTTAGCAGATGTACTTGCACATCGTAATAGGACTCTTCATGTATTATCTCTTACATGGAATAAACTAATAACTGATTTAAGTGTAGATAGCATTATTAATATGTTGGAATATAATCAAACATTGAGAACAGTGTGTTTATCTAATTGTGATTTATCTGATATTGGCAAAGAAAGATTAAGAGAAGCAATAAAATTACGTAAGGAGTTTTATCTTGATCTTTAAAATAATTTAATTTTTGATAATAATAAAAAAAAGAATATTTATACATTCTTCTATCTAGCAAATATACGTAGGATACACTTATTATAAAGTATATCACGTGTGCGTTTTTTTGTATATATATTTCGCTCAAAGAGGATCAGCTTTATAAATTGATATATCAACATCGTTGAATTTAATTAGAATAAAAATTAGTCTCTTTGATGGAATATTAACTTTCGATATTGATGTACATTGTAAGACTTCCTTATGTTATTATATATATATTAATCTTTGAATATTCCAACAAAGGTCATATGTATATTCTACCAGTGCTTTGTTTGGTAGTAATAAAAGTCAAACATCAACATTTTATTGTAAACTATAAGACGAAATAATTGTCAGATGTGAGTAGCAACTCCATTGACATGTTGATGCTTCGCTATTATTCATCAATACTGTATCAATTACTATCGTGGTTGTAAGTAACAATTCGGTAGCATTAAATCAGTTAGATCATGTATAATTGATATTTTGTCACAATAACAAATGATTGTCTTTAACATATCAGAAAAGTAAACAATTATGAAAATTAAAGTAAGATATAAACATTTTAACATGTAAAATTGATCTCTTCATACGTATAATCATCAATCCATTGTATGTCTTTGTTCTGCATATATTCGTAACAGAAAAAACCAGAATTAAGTTATATTTATAGCTCGACAATTTTTGTATATAAAGAAAATGTCTGTTGTAAACGTTATTTGTATTATTCAAAATACTCAATTTTTAATTTCTAAGACCAATGATATTTTTGATTAAAATAAGCATCTTAATTATTTGCTGTTTTTATGTGATTTTCATCGTGCAGTCATTTTTTATTATTTTATTAGCATAGAATTTAATATGTAACGCAGAACTTGCTGTATATAATAATTAAAATACTTCATCATATAGCGTAGAAAACAAAACTCTTTACCATATGATTCATTGGTATTATTATATAGATGAATCATTTCATTTAATAAGGCTGACATATTTATTAAAAAGTTGTATTTAAAAGAGAAATATTAGTAATCTTATTTCTATAACGTTGTTATCGAATGATTATTTATTTGTTTAATAACACAAGCAATCATGTCAACAAAGACATATGTCGTGTATATTAATATCATTCTTGTTTAAAACATCGATTCATATTTATCAATAAAATAAATCGATGAGGTACCAATGATTCATTATATAAATTAACAGTACTTCACAAGTCAGTATACTGAATCACGTCACACACATTGATATGTATATTAGCTCAGATATAAATCATGAGTTATATATAATACTGGCATTTGCAAATATATGCAATAATAGAAGTTACGAACACCAATGACAATTCTCTATTATGAATAGATAAAGAAGTCACGTACTATTTATTGTTGTTACACTTTAGTCATATTACTATAATTTTTTTTATTTGACAAAAGAAATATACATTTGAATTCTTCATATATAAAATAATGAAAGATAGACTTGAAGAACTGCAAGGAAATGTGAGTTTTATTTTTAATTATCCTTTCAATATTGTTTATTTTTCATTTTAGGTTGAAAAGTATGATAATGATGAAGATCTTAACATTGCGAAACATTTTGCTGTGATTGATATGGATGGTGAATCTATGAATGATGTTTTTTATAAAGTAAGGAAAAATTATTTTAACAAAATTAGTTTATTTAATTAGGTTAATTTTCTTGGAAATGCTATTGATAAATTAGCTGAACTTATTAATATTATTCAATCTTTACAAAATGCTATGTTAGCACCATTACCAGATATACGTAAACTATATATAGTTTTTTGAAATTATTTTCATTCGAATAATTTTTAGAAAGTAGAAATAAACTTGAAGAAAAAATTCTGGAAATTCGACAATTAGGAAATACTATACGAAAAAATTTAAACGGTAAAAAACAACTCGTATAAAGAAAAATTAGTTCTCTTGTTTAAGAAATGAAAAAAATGCAAGGAATGGATACTAATACTGATGAAAAGAATGCTCGTCAACGTATTATTGAAATTCATACAGATATTCTAACTGAACGATTTTGTGATGAAATGAATAAATATTATAAATCAGTTGTTACTTATCAAGAACAATGTCGAACAAGAATTGCACGTCAAATGCAAATTGGTTTAAAAAATTTCTTTTCTTAATTCATTCATTCATTGTTTTTTCTATTCTATTAGCTGGATTTGAAAATACTGATGACGAAATAGATAAACTTCTCGAAAATGGACATTCATTTTTGTATCCAGAAGTATAAATTTAAGATAAAAGAAATATTTAAAAATTTTATTTTTCTATAAATTATAGATTAGAGTTCAATTAGAAAAAGAAAAACAAACATTATATGATATGGAAGCACGTCATTTAGATATTATGAAATGTGAAGATAGTATTCGAGAATTACATGCTTTATTTATTGATTTAGCTGATTTAATTAATAGACAAGTATGATAGTTTTTTGGAAAATTTTCATATTTTGATTTATGAATATTAGGGAGCAGATATTTCATCTATTGCAGACCATGTTAAAAACGCTGATGAATATTTAGAAACTATTCCACATATTTTGCCGTCGAAAAAATCAAATCGACCTGCTAAAAAAGTGAGTAAAACTAAATATTTTAAGATATGTTGTATTATTATCTATATGTTATTTAGATAAAAATATGTCTAATTATGACTTTGTTTTGTTTTATGATTATTTTAGTCTCGGTTTTATTAAGACTAATAAAAACAATATGATGTAGTTTTTATTTTTAATCAAGATTTTTTTTGTATAAAGCTTGTTATTTAATGTTTTCTAATAACGATAATCATTCATTATGTTTCAATCATTGATTATATATTGGATTATAACATTGAACTAGATCCAGATCTACTACATATTGTCTTTCAATTATTTCTATTTGATAATTATACTATTCTGAATATTTTCTACCGCTCTATTAATATATTATACTCTTTTGGGTTATTGACGTACATCTAGGACAAAAGTTAATATCTTATTTCAAGAACAAATGCATGGCGAATATTATGTCAAAGTTTTGACTGTTTCTTAGTACAAGAACATTGAATAATATAGAATATAAACGACATTTTAAAAACAGAAGAGTATTAAATTGACAAATTCAGTTTGGAATAATTACACTATGAATGATACGCGATAAGGTAGCTGTTTTGCGTATGAAGAAGAGTGTGATTAACTGTATATTGTAAAAGATTGATAGTACTGTTGATGTCAAAAGATACGGCATCGAATACAGGTGGGTATACTAAGAACATTCTTTTAATCGTTGTCAAATACGAAGATCATCACATACATTATCTCATTGAAAAATAGTATGCTATAATCCGTTTTGTGCATTCATATCAAAGACTTATTAACCATTAAATTCGAATTATATTCTCCAGAATACTATTTATGGAATATTCTCCCTTTCTCTCTCTAGTATATAAACCCGTGTTGTATGTTAAATAGTTACATTTAGATGTAGTACTTAGTCGAATAAACATCGTGCTTTAAGGTACTATAACTATGTCTCTCCATTTGTCATAACCATGGGTATGCACCTGTAGCTCATTTACATAAATGCCCAAATAATGGTAGAGCTGCATATTCCATTTTCCGTTACACGCATCGTTATAACAAAACCGGTTTCTTTTGAATCGGCGTTGGATGAAGATGAACAAGCTTCAAAAGGTATGTAATTGAGGAATAAAAAGGTGATTCAATTGATTTCTTTTTTGAAATCATTTTAGATGAATTGGTTGTGATTCACCCACCTTTTCTCGATATCACATATTATTGCCTCACAAAAGAAGGCAAATTGCACGTTGTCTGGGATGATGAT